CGACTCACGGCAGCCCAGCTCCAGGTTGAGCTGTTGTTCAGCATCTTAGCTGTAGAGGGCAGTGTCACTGGCCCTCATATGTGGGATCTGAACCAGGTCCCTCTGGCATCCCAAGTGAGTTCTTAACCATCAAGCCACTCGGCCAGCCCTGTGTTATTTTTTTAAGTATAATACATTCACTGGTTGGACCAATTGGTTCTAGAATTTCTCTAGCTGATAGATAGCAATCTGGTCATGAAGGAAACTGGACTTATTTGAAATTGTATTTCTAATAGCACTTGACATAAAAATGTTAACTGTTCATATTAAAGAGTGGGGAAGGGAGGGCAGAGAGAGACTTTTCAAATTATGTGTATAATAGCTAACCGTCCCCCCCAGTCATACACTGATGCTGCTGTTGTCCTCAGTTGTAAATGATTTATATTAGAAAAACTTATATTTGAAATATACCAAGGGTGACAAAAAATGTATACACATTTTAAGAAAGGAAAAACTGTATTAAAATTGTAATACTTGATATATACCAAAAGGGCCGGCTGAGTGGCTCATTGGTTAAGAGTTGGCTTGGGAGCGCGAGCTCTGAGCAGCAAGGATGCTGGTTTGGATCCCACATGGGCCAGTGATGCTGTGCCCTCTACAGCTAAGATAGTGAACAACAGCTCAACCTGGAGCTGGGCTGCTGTGAGTCGCTGGTGACGGCAGGTGGGTTGCCATGGGCTACCGTGTGTAGCCAGCAGCCAGCATGAGCGGCCGTCCAGAAGCTGGCGACTGATCTGCCTTGCTGGGGAAGAGCGCAATGATGGTGCCAACTTGGGCCAGTGAAGCAACGACCTCCACAACTAGAATGAAGAACAAAAAGACAGCAACTTGTCTGTTCCCCTTCCCCCAATTCCCCAGTAAAAAATCTAAAAAAAAAGAAATACAAATCAGGTTGTGTTATTACATCTTTGTTTTCAAAACATGTTCTAAAAGGGGCTTTTAGATACTAAACAAGTACCTAAATGTTGACTTCTGAGATTTTTCAGGTTATATATCTTTCGTCCATCTTTAAACATATAGACTTCTTTTTAGCTTGAATATTCTTTTTTTTTTAAATATTTTATTGGGTAATTGGGGGAAGGAACAGCATTGGGGAATCGGGGAAGGGGAACAGAAAAGTTGCTGTATTTTTGTTCTTTAGTCTAGTTGTGGAGGACGTTGCTTCACTGGCCCATGTTGGTATTGTGATCATTGCACTCTTCACGGCTGAGGCAGATCGGTCATTGGCCATTGGACGGCCGCTCACAGCAGCTCATGGCAGCTCATACCGCCGGCTGCTCACGCTGGCTGCCGGCCACTCACGGTAGCTTATGGCAGCGCACTGCAGCCTCACTGCAGCCTACGCCAACACCGGCAACTCATGGCAGCCCAGCTCTAGGTCGAGCTGTTATTCACCATCTTAGCTGTAGAGGGCGCAGTGTCACTGGCTCATGTGGGATCCGAACCAGCGGCCCTGCTGCTCAGAGCTCGCGCTCCCAAGCCAACTCTTAACCAACGAGCCACTCATCCAGCCCTTGAATATTCTTGAATAATAATTATGTCTGAATTTTTTTCCAAATCAAACTACCAACTTGCCTGTCCCGGTCAATGTAGACATTTTTTTTTGTCTCTTGCTTAATTAATCTTTGTTTTTCTCTCAGTACTACAATGAAAAGGAGATGTTAGCAGACCAAACTGAAGAATAAAAATTCTAAGACTTGGCTGATGTAGTTATTCAGTTATTTATTGTTACTGTTGTTGTCGTTTGCCCAGCCTCCACCCTGGAGACCTCTATCCTTTCACAAGGAAGCCCCTGTTTATCATTGTGGATTCATCCAATAGTGTTGCATATAAGGTGAGTTCCATGAGCACTATTGCACGTTAGACGTTATGGCACCAACCGAGGTAACGAATCTTAACATGTGCCTTTTTATTTTGCTTTATTTCATTTTACACAGTTTGTATTTAGTCTTTCTTTTCTTTTGAGGTTGTGCATGGTAGTCAGGATCTGGTGCTATGAATAGAAACAAGAAGAAAACGCATGAATGGACCCTCAGTGGAAAATAATAAATCCTCCTTCAGGAAAAAAAAAAATTCAAGATTTCCAAGATCTCTGGTAGAAGGTTTATTTTTGTTATATAACCCAGAATCATTTTCTTTTATAGAGGTAGAAGTATATGGGCAAATTTTATTTCCTAGTTTTCAAACTTTTTTTTTCCCCCTTCTACACACTGAGCTGCTATGTTTTAAGTAAAATTTCTTTCCTGTGTTTTACAGGTACAGTCATTGAATAGCAACAGAAATTGTTTTAGATGCACTTAATTTCTTTTTTTTAATTTGTGACAATAAGTGAAAAAGATGGTCCCGAATGCTGAAATAAGTAACAGGCATCTAATTTGAAAATCCTTTGTTTTATATTTTGCTATTTTGACACAGTGTTTTTCTGTAATTATATATGGAGTGCCAGCAGCAAAACGCTTTGAAGTAGGATATTAGAATTCAAACTATAGTAATTTACAGGAAAATAAAAACAGAATTTTTGGAGTTCTTTGTATATGGTTGGAATATTTTGTTAGGGAACAATATGTTCAGAAATATGCTGGGATCTGCATATGAAAACTGCCAATTAAAACTATTTCTGTTGTGGGTGTTATGTAATTAAATGGAGACGCAGCATTAGTAGGTTTATTTCAGGAGAGATGGAGATGTCTGGTAACCAAGAGAGCTGACCCCAAGCATATGTTTTCCATCGAATTTTCATGTTTAGTTTCACTTTTTAAAGCCTGGATTTCAAGAGCTTCTAATGCACCCTAATTTGTTCAGCATATCTCCAGCTACTTTGTCAAGTTTAACATTACAACTTTGAGTTTTAGGAAAATTACCGATAGCTGTGTACTTTCTTAAATTGTATGTGTTACTGTTTTTAATCTTTTTGAGGGGTTGGGAGGTTTCTGAAGGATAAGGTTTATTGGATTTCCCATTTAAACTTATAAAACCAAAAGATTCCAGGCATTTGTATCATCACAGAATTCAAAAAAGAAGCATTCTGTGTCTTTGTCAATGAAAAGGAATCATTTGTTACAATTTAATGATGTGACAGGATATGTTGATCAAGTGTATATCTTAATACGCTACAGCATGTATTTAGAGTGTTTTAGCATTCTAGTAATTTCTTTCAATTTAATTGGACATTATTTGATACCTTTTATAATCTCAAGAATATCTTTCATTAAGAGTGCTTTTTGGATGTAGAATGAGTATGGGATGCTGATTTTAAAAAACACCATTGTGCATACTTGGAAATGAATTTACTTAATTATATATCACGATTTAATTCTAGATTTTAATATTCCGACACCTAGGATAATGGTGGAATAATAAATAGAAAGGATTTTTTTGTTTGTTTACTTTTGATGACACATGCAGTATCACTCCTCTAAAAATTTAAATTGTTCAGAACATACTGATCTTTAGAAATGAAATGGGGAGCCCATATGCAGTAGGCAAATTAGAGTATGGCACAGACCAATTTGTGTTTTTTTTTTAAATTAATACTATTTAATGCCTGTAAATTAAGTATGCTGTTCTCTGTTAACATATGAGGGTGTCTGATATTTACCTTTCCCATAAAGCATGTGTAAAAAGTCTTAAACTACCATTTTATAAGTTTCTAATGAAAAAGGAGAACTGGGTGACATGTATTATTTTTCGAGTACCTACTTCACTACGTAGATTTCATTACATGCAAATGTTTTATGAACATGTATGTGTTTTCTAAATGCTTCTTCATATAAACACAAACATTCATGTGTAGTTCTTCATTTAAGTATTACTTTTTTTTTTCTAGCTGAGCCATCTTGCCACCTGCTGGCAGCTGTTGGCAGCTCAGCTCGGGCCAGGAATTGAACCGGCGACCCTGTTGCTCAGAGCTCACACTCTTAAGCAAGCTCTTAACCAACTGAGCCACTCGGCCGGCCCTTATATTTTTATTTTTACGAAAGTAACTCAGGCTTATAATAGTTTAAAGCTGGAATTCTCAGTTATTTCTGTGCATCTGAATCCTTCAGAGTCCTTTTCAAAGCCACTTGTACCGGGCCTCAACTCCTGTGATTGTGATTGGCTTGATCGGGTAGGGGGCGGGGTTGGGTGTCTGCATAATTCCAGGGTGTTGTCTGGGTGAGAACTACTACTAAGCGAGTTCCACCAGGTGTTACTAAAAACAGCAGTTTCCTGCTGTCTTGCCATACCCCTATTTGCCATCATTTTTCTAAATAACATGCTGGTATTGATATTTCTTGATTTTTCAGTTTTAGGCATTATGTGTTGCTATCCTATTATGGAAGAGAAATTTGGCTCCTTTTCTCCTTCCTAGCTCCAACTTACATTCATACCTTTTACATCTTTTTATCCACACTGAAGACTTGCATCATACTTCCAGTTTGTTGACTATTTAGGGCTGATATTATTTTGACTATAAAATGCTTTCAACAGCCATATAATAAACTTTTTCTTTCCTATGCAACTTTCTGCTTTTCCTGGAGCAAATAATTGTTTATCTTTGTTCTTTTTATTTTTTTCCTGAACATATCACTAATTCAACCCCTGTCTCCTCACCGGTTGTCTAAATCTCCTTTCAGATTGTTCAGATGCATTAGTCTCTTAATTGTATCTTTGTGATGAATTATCTCCTGCAGCGTCTGAACTGGTGCCCTCCATATATGCTGCACAGCTCTCATCCCAGAATCTCTTCTCATCATTATCCTGGGAATTTGTCATCTCTCTTGCTTATTAGATCTCTGTTTCCCGAATCCTTTGTCTTCCTCTTCGACACATGACTCTCATTTTGGTGCAGGGTCTCCTAGAGGAGCTCCCTGAGAAAGGGTGAACATGAAGTAAAACATTCGAGGTCTTGCACTTCTGCAAATATCTTTCATTTACCCTCACACTTCAGTGATCGTTTCGGTATAGATTAGAGATTGCCCTTCAGGGTTTGGAAGGTATTGATTGCTGTATTGCATTCTATCTTCCAGTATGTCTTAAATAGCACAAAGCATTCTAATTCTGGATTCTTGTTTTAGTCTCTGGAAGCTAATGGACCTTCTCTTTGTCCTCAGTGATTTTTACCTTCTAAACAGCGTGTCCTGGTCTGGGTTTATTTTTAACGATGGTGCTTAGCGTGTACTTGGTGAGTCCTTTCAGTCTGGAGGCTCTGCCCATTTTTTTTGAGTTGTTCCATTGACTTCCTCTCCTGCATTTTCTAGGGCCGGCCGAGTGGCTCAGTTGGTTAAGAGCTCGCTCAAGAGTTTGAGCTCTGAGCAACAGCGGTTCAAGTCCCGGCCCGAGCTGAGCAGCCGCTGAGCTGCCAACAGGTGGCAGGATGGCTCAGCTTAAAAAAAAACAAAAAAAACCACAACTCTCCTGCATTTTCTTTGCTCCATCTTTTGAGAACTTCTGTCATTGATATATTAGACCTTCTGATCGAGTCCTTTGATTTTCTTGCCCTTTATTTTCCATCTTCTGGTCTTTTTGCTCTTTAGGAAACTCCCTTGCCTTTATCTTCTAACCCTGTTAATGAAGATTTTTAATTTGTTCTTCAGATGTTTCTTCCCTAAAGATATAGATGTATGTGTATGTATATAAAACACATATGCATACAAGTGTATAATTATCTTGATTTTTATCTGATTGAAATACATTCACTTACCTTTGAGAATATCAATAATGTTTTTTAAATTCTCCCTGCTTGGTATCTATTTCTATCATGTCAGTTTGTTTGTGTTTGGTTTTGCCTGTATATGTCATATTAGAGGCTGTCCTCGGAGTATTTTAAATTTTGCCTATCTGCTCAGATTTAAGAGTGGAAGTCAGCAAAATGGTCAGAATCTCTGAGGCTCTGGATCGGGCTTTTCATGTTGAACTGGTCGGTGTGACAATCTAGCTGGACCATTTAGTTGGGTAATCTCTGATGTTAGCATCTTGAGGTCTGTCTTTGTGGTCTGGTCATACTCACCAGAGCAGACTCAACTCTTCTGCCTGGAATATAAAGGTGTGACTCTTAGCATTGCACTGTGTTTTCCCTAAAGTCTGTGTGTGTGTGTGTTTATATTTGTATACAGGTAGATCTTCATGTCCCCAGTGCCTCACACTTAAAAGATTCTTAGTAAATATAAGTTGAATGATTAGATGAAGGTAGGCACTATTATCCTTTGTAGTTGAGGAAACTTTGCCTATGAGGTTAAGTATCTTGCTTAACTGATTCCAACAGTCTTTCTCATTCCAAAACCCAAGCTCTTTTCACACGTAGGAAAAGAGGAGCTTTGTGTGCTAGTCTGAGCCTCATTTCAGAGGAGAGTTATTGAAATGCCAAGATCTGTGTAACACGTATGGCCCACATTGTGCCTCTCAAATTTCCTTTAGGGAATCAGCAAGTGGCCGTGGCCTTACCTGTAGTAATGTAGAAGTGGGAGCTTCAAAGTCCCCAGTGATTTTGAACATTTCTTTTAGTTCTGCTTTGTTTTCTTTGGAAGAAGAAAAAAATTTGAGTGTTTAAATAATTATGACAGAGCTGGATCTCTGCCAGTGAACATGACTTACACATTTGTCAGAACAGTCATATTTATCTCAACAGCCTTGACCTGTTTGACTGATGGCTGCAGATTGCTGCAGCCTGTGAAAGCATTCACCCTCCTTACCTGGTTATGTAAGATCTCTTCTGCCAGTCAGCCTGACTCGTTCCATTTCTTTCTTGCTAGCACTTCTGAAAGACCATCTCCCATCTCTTTGTTTTTGGCATCCTACAGTTACACCGTGATATGCCTAGGTTTTGTTTCTTTATAGTGAACCTATTGGAAATTGTGAGACTTCTTGAATTGGTAGGTTGGAGCTTTTCATTATTGCTGGGAAATTCTCAGCCATTGTATCTTCAAATATTGGCTGTGCCCCAACTTCTCTCTCATCTCCATCTGGAACTCTGATTGTGTGTGTGCCTCTGTGTGTGTGTGTGTGTGTGTGTGTGTGTGTGTGTGTGTGTGTGTGTGTGGGGAGAGAGAGAGAGAGAAATGTGCACACATTTTAAGAAAGGAAAAAAAACTATTAAAATTATGCTGCCGGTAACCACTTTGAGTACCTCTTGTAATTGTAGAAGTCAAATGTTACTTGTATTCATTTTTTGTTGTCAGTATATATTAAGTATTACAATTTTAATAAGCTAAAAACAAATGGAAACATATACCATGTTCATGGATAGGAATAATTAATATAGTTAAAATGTCCATACCACCCAAAGCAACATATAGATTTAATGCAATCCCTATCAAAATACCAATGGTATTTTTCACAGAACTAGAACAAATAATCCTAAAATTTATATGGAAACATAAAAGACCCTGAATAGCTGTGGCAATCCTGAGAAATAAGAACAAAACTGGAGGTATTATGCTACCTGATATCAAATTATACTGTAAGGCTGTAGTAACCAAAGCAGCATGGTATTGGCATAAAAAACAGACGCATAGATCAATGGAACAGAATAGAGAGCCCAGAAATAAATCCATGCCTATATGGTCATTTATTGTAATCTATGACAAACAAAGCAAAGATTTACATTGGGTTAAAGACAGCCTATTTAATAAATGGTGGTGGGAAGACTAGATAGACACATGCAAAAAATAAAACTGGATTGCCTTCTTACCCCATATACAAGAATAAACTCAAAATGGATTAAAGACTTAAATATAAGAATTGAAACCATAAAACTCCTAGAAGAAAATACAGGCAGTAAACTCTCAGACATTACCTTTAATAGTATTTTTACTGATCTATCCCCTCGGGCAAGGGAAACAAGAAAAAAATAAACAAATGGGACCATATCAAACTAAAAAGGGTTTTCATAGTAAAGGAAATCATCAACAAAACAAAAAGACATGCTACTGAATGGGAGACGATATTTGCCAATGATACATCTGCCAAGGGGTTAATATCCAAAATTTATTAAGAAAAACTCATACAACTCAACACCAAAAAACCAAACAATTCAATTTAAAAATGAGCAGAGGACATGAAGAAACATTTATCCAAAGACAACATGCAGATGGCCAATAGACATATGAAAAGATGCTCAACGTCATTAATCATCAGAGAAATGCAAATTAAAATGAGATACCACCTCACTCCTGTCAGAATGGCCATCATCAATAAATCAACAAACAACGAGTGTTGTTCAGGATGTGGAGAATAGGGGACCTTCGTGCATCATTGGTGGGATTGCAAATTGGTGCAGCCACTACGGAAAACAGTATGGAGGTTCCTCAAAAACTTAAAAATAGATCTACCTTATGACCCAGCAGTTCCACTCTTGGGTATTTATCCAAAGAAATCCAAAACACTAATTTGAAAAAATATATATGCACCTGGTTTTACTGCAGCACTATTCACAATAGCTATCACATGGAAACAACCGAAATGCCCATCAGTAGATGATTGGATGAAGAAACTGTGGTACATTTATATATACAATGGACTATTACTCTGTCATAAAGAAGAATAAAATCTTAACCATTTGCAACATCATGGGTGGACCTAGAGGATATTATGCTAAATGAAATAAGTCAAACTGAGTAAGACAAATACCATATGATCTCACTTATATGTGGAATCTAAACAGAGTAAACAAGCCAACAAAACAGAAATAGACTCATAGATACAGAGAAAAAAACTGATGATTGCTAGATGAAACAGGGGTTGGGGATCAGGGAAAAGGTGAAGGAATTAGAAAGTACAAATTGGTGATACAAAATAGTCACAGGGATGTGAAATACAGTATGGGGAGTATAGTCTATAGACTATGGAGTGTGTCAGATGGGTATTAGACTTATGGGGGGAATCGTTTCACAGTATTAACATATAAATGCCTAACCACTGTGCTGTATACCTGAAACTAATAAAATAATATTCAATGTCACCTATAATTAAGTATATATATGTATAGTCACGGATGTAAAGTACAGCATAGGGAATATAGTCATTCGTATTGTAATAGGTATGTACAATGTCAGAGGGGTAATAGACTCGGGGGGTTGGGGAGGCTATCACTTTGTGATCGGTGTAAATGTCTAATTATATTTTTTGTACACCTGAAACTAATAAAAAAAGAGAAAATGTCCCCATTCTTTTTTCATAGCTGCATAGTATTCCATCATATAGTTGTGCCATAATTATTCTACCAGTCTCTTCTTGCTGTCCGTTTGTTTCCAGTCCTCTTCTGTTACTAATAATGCTGCAAGGAGTAACTGAGGACTTAACGATATTTTCACATGTTTGAGAGTATATTCATAGGGAATGTTCCTGGTTGTGGAATTGCCGTGTTAATGGAACATGCATTTGAATTCAATAGATACTGCCAAATTGTCTTCTAAGTAGTTTATACCAACTTATACTCCTACCATTTACGTATCAGTGTTTGTTTCCCCATATTTTTGCCAACAGTGTATATTCTCAAACTTAGAAATTTTACTAAACCAAAAGGTTAAAAAATGGTGATTTGGTGTAGATTTGATTTTTATTTATTTTTCTTTACCAGTACGGTTGAGCATCTTTTCTTATATTTGAGCCAATTGTATTCTCTTATCTGTGAATTCTCTTTCACCCATTTTTCTATTGGGTCAATCAATGGTCTTTCTTATGGATTTGGAAAAGCCCTTTCTATATTAAGGAGATTAATCCTTTGTTATGTGAGTTGCATATATATTCCCCAGTTCATCATCTGGTTTTTTATTTAGTTTATGCTGTATTTTACTATGCACAAGCCTTTGATTTTTGAACTGGGTTTATTAATCATGATAGTTAGGAAGATCTAGGTTACAAAAATCCTTATTTTCTATAGTTTCTTTTAGCACTTTAATTTTTTACATTTAAATCTTGGACATATTTGGAACTTGGCCTTGTATCTGGTGTGAAGTGTGGAGCCACCTTTTTTCTACATGTCTATCCAGTTTTTCCTACCAATTTGAACTGTCATCTTTGTCATGTGTACTCCAGTCCTGTCTGTTCTGGGGTCTAATTCTGGACTCTTTATTCTCTTCCATTGGTCCTCTGCCTACTCTTATGCCTTTGCCGCATATTTTAATTACCGAGGCTTTAAAGTATGTTTTAATATTCAATGAATCTTTTTCTCCCTCTTTGCTCTTCTTTTTCAGAGTTTTCCTGGCTAATCTACTTTTTCCATATGAACTTTACGACTTTTTTTAGTTGCAGGAAAAAAATCTGTGGCTATTTTTGTTGAGGTTGGTTTATGTTTTAACAAATTAGTATGACATCTTTAGAATGGGTTCCTCGCTAAAAATATAGTGTGTCTTTTCATTTGTTCTAGTCTTCATTTTTATGATTCAGGAGAGTTTTATAATTATGTTTTTTTCACTTCTTATTAAGTTTATTTTTAGGAGTTTTAACCAAACAGTTTCTAATTTTATTTCCCACATAGATCTGCCTTTAGGGAAAGGATATCCTTAATCACGCAAGGAGTATTCTAGTTTGAGTGTCATTTTAATTCTCACTGTAAATTAACACATTGACATTCTGTTTTTCTACATCATTCTGTATGAGTACTCGTTAATATGATTGACAGTGAGATGGAGCCAATCTTCACAGACCAGTAAGTTGGGTTTTAGAGCCCGTGAGGCCGAGAGCCAGATCCTAGATCTTGGAAAATTCCCCTCTGTGAATATATCTTCACTAATGGGTGGCCTCTTGGTAGGCAGCCCAGTGACCTCTCCCTGTAACACTGCAACAATATCCATGCCTTTATTTTTAAAATCAATAGTTCACTTAGTAAATGTCACTATTTTAAGAAAGCCTGTTTTGCATGGTAGTTAGGCATGAATGACAGTCTCTTCAGCTGTTACTGATCTTTCTGCAGCTGCTATGAGTCAATGGGCCCAATCTATACACACACTAATGATGTGCTTTGGAAAATTACTAACTACCATTGGTCAAAGCTTTAATGAACGTTTTAAATTCTTATATATTACAGAATTTCACAAACTTATTTGGACAGCCACTAGTCTGCTTGCTTTCTCCTACAGCATATCCAAAAGCTTTACAAGGTATGTTCTGTCATTACCTCTTATATCCATAGGTTGCAAATAAACACTATCTGCATTTTAAATAATACTGATCTTTGTTCCCCCCACCGATAATGATTCCATGTCAATTATAGTGTTTAATGGGGCAGGTGTCAGTCTGAAACCAACCCAGAAGTCTGGCCAACCACCAGACTTCTTTAATGTGCTACCATTAGGCCCTGAGATAATTTCAAATAAATGGTAAAGCATTCCTGAGAAAAGGGTGGTTTTGGTCCCTTGCTCTTGGGGAACTCATGATTTGTGAATTTTGAAATTTGGTTTGCAGCTCTTTGTTTTCGTGAGCTTGTCTTCATCCATCTACCACAATTTCCTGTATCTCTGGCTACATATTTTAGGCATCTTTTAAGGCTAAGATTTCTGGTCTAGAAAACTTCTCAGCCTATGCATAAGACTTAGGATACCCTAAACTGGCACAATTTAAAGGGTTTCTTTTATTAGCATTTTTACCATGTTGTATTTTTTTTTTTAATAAAAGAACCTCTTCTCAGTGTGCCAGAATGACATTTCTCAGCTGAATGAGAAATGAAAGACCTTTTTGTCTTGAATAACTTGTCCTTAATCAGCAACACAAAACCTGGTTCTAACTCCCAGATCATTAAGCTAGGTAAAATACTAAACAAGCCTTAACCCTGTTTTAGCAGTACTTGTCACTGTTTCACTATCTCCCTGACTGTGAATAGTGCTGATGTCTCTCTGTGGGAGATGGCATTTTACTGCTACTTCCCAGCCTGAAGTCCTGTCTGCTGACATAGTTTGACACAGGAAGTGATGGTCAGCAGTTGAATGCCTGAGAGAAGCTGGAGACTATTCACCGTTGTTTTAAGGTAAGTTCTGCTATTTAACAGGGAAAAAAACATGTAGAAATAGTAAGTTCATGTATCCAAAAGTCAAATTACTAAGGGATAGAACTTACCTTCAAACAACGGTAAAATTCTCCTGCTTTGAGGACTCGGTTAACCTGTGGCTTATCATTTCTGGAGAAATATGACGCCTTCCAGTTACTTGAGAGTACTTTTTGTTATCAATGTGTCCTGTCAAAAGGCAGCTTTATTTAAAATTGCATGGTCTAATGGGTTAATACCAAGGTTATTTGGTCTGAAAGACTTTATTGTACTGGGGGTGCCACCAGGTGTGTCACAAAAAATGTATCCACATGACTTGTATTCATCTTTTGTTATCGGTATATATTGAATATTACAATTTTAATATTGTTTTTCCCTTTCTTAAAATGTGTATACATGGGGCCGGCCAAGTGGCTCAGTTGGTTAAGAACTCGCTCAAGAGTGCGAGCTCTAAGCAACAGGATCGCTGGTTCAATTCCTGGCCTGAGCTGAGCTGCCTGGCAGGATGGCTCAGCTTTAAAAAAAAAAAAAAAAAAAACAAAGGTGTATACATATTTTTGGCACCCTCTTTGTATAGGATAATAACAGAGTCTGGAGGCAAACTGAATTTGAATCCCAACTCAGCCACTTAATAGCTGTGTGACCTTAGGAAGTCACTTAGCCATTTGGTGCCTCAGTTTATTTCCTATCAAATGGAAATAATAGTAGTAACTACCTCATAAAATAATTCTGGGTATATAATAGGAATTCCATATGTGCTAACTATCATTATTACTACTATACTTAGTTGTAATGTATGTCCTTAGTATTTTTTTAGTCCAGTATCCTATCTTTTGTGCTGTAAAGATTAGATCTCTAATCCCTAACTGTTCCCCATCTGGACACTAAACTAGCCAATACCTAAGTATTTGGAATGGCAAATTAGATTCCTGTGTCTCTGGTATCTAAAGTCTACAGTTTTCTCTTTCACAAAGAGTTACTTCAGTCATCCAATAAACAGTTATTCGACATTTATTTATTAGGTATATATTAGTGCTAGATGTAAGCGATAACACTCTGACCAGACAAACACAGTTATATGTCTCACAGAGCTGACCATCTGGTAGACGATACAGACAACCTAACAATTACCGTGGGTGCTATTAGTGTTTCACTGGAGGAAGCATGTGGAACTCTTAAAGAGCCCTTGAAAATGAAGAGAGTGGATGCAATGATGTTTAAGGTGGAGTTGAAGGATATGTAGAATGAGGTGGGGATGGGAAATGGTTGAAAAAGAGTATTCTAGCAGAGAAATAGCACGTAAGCCCTGAGATAAGAGCTCTGAGATGAGAGTTTATGGAACATTTAGAGAAATTAAAGTAGTTTCTGCTAGTTAAAGGATATAGTTTAGGATTGTGTGGCTGAATTATTATTTTTTAAAAGATTTTATAGGGGGATTGGGGGAGGAGAACAGTATTGGGGAAGGGGACCAGCCAAGTTGTTGTTCTTCAGTCTTCGTTGTGGAGGGCACCAGTCGCCATCTGGCTTCCCATTGGCAGCTCATGGCCTCTTAACCTCAAGGTGCTGTGTTCAATCTTAGTTGAGGGTGGGCGTAGCCACCATCCCATGCAGGAGTCAAACCATAGCCTTGTTGTTAAGAGCACGCGCTCTATCCACTGAGCCATCCGGGCGGCAGCTCAGCTCAAGGTGCTGAGTTCAGTCTTAGTTGCAGGTGGGCATAGCCCACCACTGAACAGGCAATCTTGTTGTTACACCAGCTGAGCCATCCTTCCACCTGTTGGCAGCACAGCGACAGCTCAGCTTGGGCGCAGTGTCACTGGCCCATATGGGAATCGAACTGGTGGTCCTGTTGCTCACAGCCTGCACTCTTAAGCCAACTCTTAATCGGCTGAGCCACTCGGCTGGCCCCGTGTGTGGCTGAATTATGAAAAACCTTTTATGATTTGTTAAGAGATTTAAATGGAGGACAATTGGGGGGTGCCATCAAAAGATTTTAAAAAGAGCAGTAACATGAAAGAGTATTCAGTTAACTTTGTGTAGAATCAAGAGGAGAGGAGCATTGATGGAAATAGGGAGATGGTGGTGGCCGGAGCAGGGACAGTGGCTGGTTAGCTGGCTTCAATGATACTAAGCCCAGAGAACCAACAGGACTTGGTGATGGACGTGGTGATGATGAAGAAATAAGGGAGAGGAAGGCGGCAGGAATGGACGTGCAGGTTTCTGGCTGAGGTACTGGTGGAAATAATGATACTGGATAAGAAGATTTATAAGAGAACAAAGGGGAAAATTTTGTTTTCAATTTTTGACATGTTGAGTTCAAAGTTACCTTTGAGAGTTAGATTGAATATAGCAGTCTAGAGAAACTATCCAATAGAAATAATATGGGAGTCGCCTATGTAATTTTAACTTTTTTGGTAGCCACATGTTGTTTTTTTTTAAGTAGAAAGAAGCCGGTGAAATTATTGTGAGCAATATGTCTATTTGTATTGAGGCTTCGACATCCCACGTATATTTTACGCTTCATAGTGTGTCTGTGTCTCAGTTTGGACCAGTGAAATATTAAGTTCTGGACCTAAGGAGCTCAGTCTAGGCTGCAGATAGCAAAAAGGGAATCAGGGGGTATATAAATAATCATTGCAATTATGGGAGTAGGTGAGATCAGCAATGTATAGGGCCAAATATAGAAAATACTGATGTTTAAGGGATAGACAGAGAGAGAGCAACTAACTAAAGAGAGTGAAAAAGATTGGCAATTCTGGTCCTCGTCAGAGAATTCTATCCTGAACTGCCTGTCGTCCAGCCCTTGCCATATTTGTATGAATATTTTTAGTTGGGGCGGGGAGGCAAAGGAATATGTTCATTTTCCATTTAAGTTTATTAGGCTGTAAAGTTTGTTCAGCAAAAAAGCAATATTAACTGGGATATGGTTTTGTAGTTCCATGCAGAATCTACTTTGTTGAATTATGATTTAATGATATAGCTTTAAGTTTATACATTATCAGTGTATTAAAATGTTCCTCAAATGCATCTCTTATCTTTTGCAAAACTGTTGTCTGTATATATAAAACATGTTTGTTATTACAGATCAATCTCAACGAGGTAGCCTCTTCACTCTCTTTTTGAACAATCCTCTAATGGCCTTCCTATTTGTCTCTGGATTGTCAAGCATGCGTAGAGGCCTATGGGAAAAGTGTCAAGAATATCTTCGAAAAATCAACCGCGATATTGCCCAGCTACTGACCCATTCACGTTCAATAGGTACCCTACTAATCTAACTGCACACTTAACAGAAAGTACTATAATGGTTTAAAATTGTTTAAATTGTTTGAACTGTTTGAATTCTTAAAGGTATTTGTTGAAGGCAGGAAAGTTGAAAAGGTTGTCCTGAACTTTTCTTCCCCTTTGAAATGTATTTTCCATTGAAGCATCCTTTTGCTGTCACCTTTCTCCTCTTTGCAGATCAGGCATTCCTCCAGTTTTTTGGAGATGAATTTCTTCGCTTGCTTCTCACAAGATTTGTCTTTTGTTCAGCCACCATGAGGATGCACAAGATTTTTCGGGTAGGCAAAGTATATTATTTTATCATTTTAGGTATTTAAGAGTCATGTATTATATTTTACCTGTATTAAATATTATAGTTTGAATAAATCCCAACATAATATTCACAAATTAATATGTAAGGTATAAAGATGAACAATGTAATGCATATGTGAGTACCTACCACCCAATTTAAGAAATAGAACATTTTCATTCCCTTTGAGGCCCTTCTGCAGGTCCTCTCTCTCATGAAACTAAAATCCTGATTTTTATAATTATCATTCACTTTTCTTTAAAGTTTTGCCACATGGATTTGTATTCCTATGCAACATATTGGTGGGCCCATATTGTATGCATTCTTCCACAACTTGCTTTTTTACACTCACTAGTATATTCCTGAAACAGAGCCATGTTGGTGGCTGACTGTAGCTTTCATTCATTCGTTTTACTGCTACATAGGATTCCATTGTTTGACTGTATCACAAATACTCATCTGTTCTACTCATAATGGACATTTCGGTTTCCAGATTTTTAGTATTATCAACAGTACCACTGTGAAATCTTATATCAGTTTCCTGGTACACATGTAAGACTTTTTCTGGGGAAAAGACTGGCAATTCTAGTACTCATCAGAGAATTCTGTCATGAAGTGTCTGTGACCCAGCACTTGCCACTTTCAGATGAAATGTGTTAGTTGGAGGGAAAAAAAGTAAAGGAATACCTCGCAATGGAATGCGAGGTCAGATAATTTAGGCATAGTCAACTTTACTAGGTCATGTCAACCATTTTGCAAAGTGGTTGTATGAATTTACACTTGCACTAGCAGTGTGGAAGAGTCGCTATAGCTCTAATCAATGCCAACTTTTGATGCAGTCATACTTTATATTCCATGCGAATCAGGTAGGTGTAAAATAGTAGCTCATTTCTGGAGTTAATATTGAGGTTGAGCAGCTTTTCATGTGTGTTATCCTGTGTTCTTTGTGAAACTTGAGTTGAAGTCTTTTGTCTGTTTTTTTCTAAGTACAGTTTGTTTCTTTCCGTTTTTTCAAGTAATGACATAACACTGCTCATTGAGGTTTTAAAAATTTTAGCCACTCTATTTTTCACTTCTATAAGTAACGTTTGGGTCTTTTTTAAATAGGCCTAAACATTTTTAAAAGTCTTTTGCAACTTTTAGTTTTTCTGTTTGTTTGTTTGGTTTTTAAAGATTTTATTGGGGAATTGGGGAAGGGGAACAGCCAAGTTGTTGTCCTTTGATCTTAGTTGTGGAGGACACAGCTAGCTCAGTTCCAAGTCCAGTGGTATCCGTCCGCCCTTTGGCAGCTCGCGGCCGCTCAGCTCAAGGTACCTGTTCAATTTTAGTTGCGGGTGGGCATAGCCCACCATCCCGTGCAGGAGTCGAACCGGAAACCTTGTTGTTAGGAGCATGTGCTCTCATCAGCTGAGCCATCCTGCCATCTGTTGGCAGCTCAGCAGCAGCTCAGCTCGGGCACAGCTCACTGGCCCATGTGGGAATTGAACCGGTGACGCTGTTGCTCAGAGCTCATGCTCTTAACCAACTGAGCCACTTGGCCAGCCCACAACTTTTAGCTTTAAAATACTATTTTTCCCATTTTATTATTATAATTTAAAATTGTTAAAGAATTGTACAGTAAAAACCCATATACATACTAGCTAGATTCTGCAGTTAACAATTTGGTATATTTTCTTTCTCCCGTATTTATCCATTTATCCATCTCTCTTTCCATTTATCACTTCATCTTATTTTTTGATGCGTTTTGAAGTAAATTGTGGACATCAGTATAGTTTATCCCGCAACACTTCATCACACATATAAATAGCTGGAAATATATGTATGTATATTTACTTCCTTTTTAATGTAAAGTTTAGATACAGTGAAAAGCACAAAACTATAGTGTACCATTAAATGAGTTTTGACAAATACATACACCTATGTAACTCAAACCCCATTCATGTTACACAACATAGCATCATTCCAAAAAATTCTTTCCACACCATTTTTCAGTCAGTCTACTACCCTTTACCCCAGAAGCAACTCTTTTTTTACTATTTTTAACTATCGATTAGTTTCAACTATTCATGAACTTGAATTATACAGTGTAGACCTCCTTTGATCAAGCATATTGTCCTTAAGATTCATCCACGTTGTTTCATGTGTAAGCAGTTAATTCCTTTTTATTACCAAATAGTATTCCATCATCTGAATATACAACAGTTTATTTAGGCCTTTTTCTGTTGAACACCTGAGCAGGTTAAAATTTTTTACTATTAAAATTAAGTGTCTGTGAACACGCTTGTACAAGTCTTTGCACAGACTTTTGTGTTTTGAACTTTCTTGATCTCGGGGTAGGTATGTGTTTAATTTTTTAAGAAACTGCCAGGCTCTTAAAGTAGTTGTACTGGCCAATAGCGTGAGAGTTTCTCTACATTTTTGCCATCACATGTCAATTTTAACCATTTTGGTAGATTTATAGTGCTTTCTCATTGTAGTTTTAATTTGCATTTCACTGGTAAATAATGATATTGGACATTTTTTCACATGCTTATTAGCTGTATTTTATCCCATTATGCCTTTTTTTTTTTAAGATTTTTATTGGGAATTGGGGGATGGGAACAGCGCTGGGGAATTAGGGGAAGGGGAACAGACAAGTTGCTGTCGTTTTGTTCTTCAGTCTAGTTGTGGAGGACGTTGCTTCACTGGCCCAAGTTGGCACCATCATTGGGCTCTTCCCAGGCAAGGCAGATCAGTCACTGGCTTCTGTACAGCCGCTCACGGTGGCTTGAGGGTCACTCATACTGGCTGCTGGCTACACACGGTAGCCCATGGCAACCCACTGCAGCAGGGGCTGCAGCCTACACCGTCGCCGGAGACTCACGGTAGCCTAGCTCCAGGTTGAGCTGTTGTTCAGCAGGCCCTCATATGTGGGATCCGAACCGGGGTCCTCTGGCGTCCCAAGCCAGCTCTTAACCAACGTGCCACTCGGCCGGCCAGCCTTTTTGTTTTCTTAACAGTGGCTTTTGAAGACTAAATTTTTAAAACTCTGATGAATTTTCAATTAATCAGTTTTTTTCTTTAGTGATATGTGTTATATCTAAGAAATCTTTGCCTATCCCAAAGTCAAAAAGATTTTTCCCCCCATTTTCTTCTAGGAGTTTTATAGTTTTAGGTTTTACATTTAGGTCTATGCTATATTTTGAGTTAATTTTTGTTTATAGTGTAAAGTAAGAGTTTAAGTTTTCTTTAATATGGATATGAAATTGTCCTAGTATCATTTGTTGAAAAGATTACTCTTTTCTCCTTGAATTATTTTTGTTACTTTTTTGAAAATCAGTCAATCATATATGTACAGGGATATTTCTGGAATCTAAATTGTTTCATTGACTGATAACATTTTTCTCCAATACACTTAATGCCTTTATTGTAGCTTTACAGTAAGTCTTGAAATCTTGTAGCATGAGTCCCCACCCCCTAACATTTTTTAAGTGGTTGCTTTAGATCCTTAGTGTATCTGTGTGAATTTTAGCATCAGCTTCACATTTTGAATGGGATTGCATTTAATCTATGTAAACAATCTGTGCAGAGTTGTATTTGAATAATATTGAGTCTTCTAATCAATTATTATGGTCTATCTCCACATTTATGTAGGTCGTTTTTAGTTTCTGTCAGTAACATTGTATGGTTTTCATCATACATGTAAGAGGGTCAATAAGTGTCTTATTAAATTTATTATTAAATTTATCCCAAAGTATTTCAAGTTTTGGGATGCTTTATAAATAGAATTGTACTTTTTATTTCTTTTTCCAGTTATTTTTTGCTAATACATAGAAATACTGCCGCTTTTAAATTGACCCCGTATCCTGCAGTCTTGCTAAAATGAAGTATTCTGTTAGATTTTTTTATACCTTCCCTAAGATTTCCTGTGTACATGATCACATCATCTTCAAAAAAAGTAGTTTTACTTCTTTTCCAATCTGTATGCATTTTTAAAAGTTATTATTTTTTTATTAAAATTTTTTTTAATTGGGGAACAGCCATGGTCATTGGTTACACATTGCTTTCATGTTACAATGGCATAGTTGACTTTTTCAAGGAGGGCGCAGCTCACAGTGGCCCATGCGGGGATCAAACCAGCAACCTTGGTGTTATCAGCACAATGCTCTTAACCAACTGAGCTAACCAGTCACCCCTGTATGCATTTTATTGTGGGATTTTTGGTGTGTGTATGTATGCTTTATGTCAGGGCTAGGTCTTCCAGTAAAATGTTGACTAGAGTTAGTGAGAATGATTACCCTTTGCCTTGTTCCTGGTTTTAGGGGGAAAATATTTAGTCTTTTACCATAAATTATAACATTAATTGTTGGCTTTTCATAGATGCCCTTTTCCGGGTTGACTGAGCTCTCTTCTATTTCTAATCTGCTGAGAGTTTCTATCAAGAATCGGTATGGAAGATTGTAAAATACTTTTTTCTGCCTTACTTGGCCTGATATATATTAATTCTAACATGGTGAATGGCACTGATTGATTTTCTTATAGTAAGTCAGCCTTGTATATCTGGGTTAATGGAATTTTGTGGTCATGTATTATCTTTTAGAAGTTCTATTTGGTTCTTTTAATATTTTCCTTTTTTTTTTAATGTTTTTGTTGTGTTCTTGAATGTATATGTAATAGCCAAAGTCCTTATGTGCTAATATATATAATACTATATTCTCTATCACATATAGGTTCATTTTTATTGTTTTTCCTAGTGGTTATGGGTCTTAATATTCCTAATTTTTTGTACATCTAGTAATTTTCTATTATATTGTGGGCATTGTGAATTTTATGATGTTGAATTCTGGATTTTGTTGCCTTTCTTTTTTTTTTCTTTTTTTTAGCTGAGCCATCCCGCCACCTGTTGGCAGCTCACGGCTGCTCAGCTCGGGCTGACTCGAACCACTGTTGCTCAGAGCTCAAACTCTTGAGCGAGCTCTTAACCAACTGAGCCACTCAGCCGGCCCTTGTTGCCTTTCTTTAAAGAGTGTTAGACTTTGTTCTGGCAGGAGTGAAATTACTTTCAAATCTCTTTGATCTTTTCATGGCTTGTATTTAAGCTTTATAGGGATGGATTTAGACTAGTGTTAGCATATAGATATAAGCTTGTTTTGGCCTAATGTTAGGAAGCATGATTCTGCTGAGAGCTCATATTCCCTGTTTCAACAAATATCTCCACTCTGGGGGATGTTTGGTCAGAATTCTAACATCTCTCAGCCCTGTGTGAGCTGAAAGAATTGTTCAACTTATAGTTGTCCCCCAGGAGTTCTTGTTTTTTTCTTTTTTTGGTTTTTGAACATTTCATCTTGTCACTCATAATATTTAGTGCGGTAAAACAAAAATTTGTTCTTCGTAATGTGCAATGAGTGAAGCCTACAGGAATAAGAGAGATAGAAATAATATTTAAATATATGAACTATCATGTTAGATAAGCAGAAAAGTAGTAACTTATTTCTTCAGGAAGTCTTAAATGTGTGGCAAATTGTAGTCTATAGAAATTACCAAATGAAGAAGAATTTCCAAATGAAAATTACCTGATTCTTGATACCTGATTCTTGAAATTGTCTCCTTCTTTTGCTTCCATGTAATTACAATTTTTTTCTTTTTTATTATTCCTTTTCTGATCTTTCATCTCCCTTTTTAGGAACTTTTTTTTTTTCACTCTTTGCTGAGATTCTTAGAAATCTCATCCATGGCTTTAATATTTATCTCCATGCAGATTACATCATTATTCACATATACTGCTCAAACTTGTCTGCTGAGATGCCGTCCTGAATTTTCAAATTCTGGTTGAGGAGGAGTTCTATTTGTATTAACCTATTACCTTGAATAAAATATACCTAAAACCTGAAACTTTATACTATCCTTAAATTAATCTCTTCCTTCTGTTTTTCTCTCAGTTGCTCCCAACACTTCTCTCAAATCATCCTTTACTGAAATCTTATAGTCATCTTTGACACCTTTATCTCCTATAATTAATTTCCAAGGCCCATTAATTTGACCTTTTCAGTGCTTTTCATATCTTTTTTCTTGTTTTCATTTCCACTGCAACATCTGTTTATTCATTCAACAAATACTTGTTGAAATTCTGTATATGCTAGAATTCCCCCCCACCTCAAGTAGGATTTATATTGTTTCCACAATATAGCATAGTGCTCAGAAATGATAGGCTCTAGTAAATATTCGTGAATAACTCACTAAATTAATATATTAGGTTGAACCATATGAAGTTGTCATTTTAAAGGTCAGAATGGTCAAATGTCAGCAATTTCACATGTTCAACAAATATATCACCAATAATCATGTCATATGAAAGAGAGAAATACATATCAAGTTATTCCTTAATATTGTTAACAGTAATATTAACATTTATCATTGTCTTTCGTTAAACTGTAAAACTTTTTTCTCTTCTTTGCCTACCAGGAAACACGAAATTACCCAGAATCATATCCACAACTGCCAAGGGATGAAACAGTTGAGAACCCTCATCTCCAGAAGCACATTTTGGAATTGGCATCCATTCTGGATGTTCGAAACGTGTTCCTTGAAAATACCATAGATGACTATTAAAACAAAAAACCCTCTTGTCCAAACAATTTTTCATTTGCCACAGATTTTAAATGGTGCAGTTTTCTAATGTGATGACAGACACATACATAGTGGTGTTACTTAGTTTTTATTTTTTAATTTTGACCACCATTTTAAAAACAAACTGAAAAAAATGTTTAGACTTTTAGGATAACTTTTAAAATACAATCTTTCAGGTCTTTGAAAAAACTCAATTAATCTTGGAATTTTTATTTTTATTTTTTTGAGGTATGAATACTTACCGACAACATCTGATCCTACACTCAAGTAGTCACCCTGAGAAGAGTAAATTATTTATTTTTGTATAATGAGGAAAATCCAACTCTTAAACTTGGACCTTACATGTATGGATTGGGAAAATATGTAATTGTTCATAGAGATGAAATTAGCCAGCAGGGACTCCTAAAAGTCAAGAACAGTCCTGCCATATTTGTTTTCATTCCAAATTAGTAGGCAGAAAATGTGTGATTCTTTGAAATAGCACCAAGACAATTCTTGAAATCATTTGTTTAAATACTGTCAGGATTTCAGAAATTGTATAGCATTGATTTGCATCTGAAAACTAAATCTTTAATTGGGGTCTGGAGATGATAAATATCATGTGGGATGTGTGAGTCCTCTTTGCATATTTTGTTTTCCTTGTAGTCTTTGAGTTGCTGGAAATTAAAAAGAACAACTTTTAAATATTTCACTTAAAAAAATCAGATTGTCGATTTCCAGTAGGAATTGTATTTAAACTATTAATTCATCAGATCAGGTTTGAATCCTGTCAAGATTGAAGTCCGTGGCATACAGTACAGAGTTTGTAATCTTTGCCTATTTCAAGTTTATGAGACTTCAGAGTCAGAGATGTTATTAATTTTAGTTGGTGGGTAACTGAATTGTTATTTAACCTAAAATGGAAGTTGCTTTAGTATTGATAATTTGGCAATAAGATTGTTTTTTAAACTTCTTGTATTTAATATTTTATATTCATGCACAAGTTTTTATTTTAATAGGACTCAGTGTATAATATATTTTTTTGCGTTTTGCTTCTTTAATGTTACAGGCATTAGCTACGATTTTTTTTACCCCCTCTTTTGACTCCACAGCATTCAAGTTCAAAAAGTTATGACTCAAAAGCCCTTCTCCCTAATTTTCTGTACAGGCTCACATTCTACCTCTGGCAGTCCCAGGGGAAGTGAGGTGATTGCTTTTGGTACCTCTTTCCTATGTCCCTAGGGAAATGTTACTGTAATATTTTTAACTTGGTTTTCATTTCTGGCATGGAGAATTATTTGGGTCTAAGTTATTCATATACCTGTTCCAATTTGCTGATTTTTCACCTGAAGTCTTGAAGTTATTGTTCTTAGTTTGGAGGGATTTTGTGGTGTTTTATTAATATTTTTACTGTTTTTGTTTGTTCTTTTAAACATTATTTCAGAAGGCTTTGGAAAAGTTATTCTGGAGAGAGGTTTCCTTTGCTAGTGGGTTGTTTTTTATTATCAGATAGAGACTGCTTTCCTTTTTTTTCCTGTCCCTTAGTAGACTTTATAGCTTTCCTTTCATCTCAGCATTCACCTAGACTACAGCAATAGACGGGCCTTAGTTGTCTGACCTCTTTTTTCAGTTCTCCTGAAGGTCTGTGCCAGTAATGTTCCTAACACATATTTTCCTGTTCTCTGATGCTTGAAATAATATTTTACATCCTGAGCTTTATCCTCACCTGTTTAGCATAAGGAACACTGGTCTGAGAACTAGGAGGCCTGAGTTCTAATCCTGGCTGTCTTGGTAAATAGCTTTATGCCCTTGACAGGTGTCTTGATTTCTCTGCTTTTTAGCATGCTCATCTGTAAAATAAAGGCATTGGCCCAAGGTCCAATCCAACTGTATGGTTTTATAATTTGAACTCTTGGTCCCAAAAGATATTTTCCCCAGCCCTGCCACCTTGAAAACTGATTTTAGTGTACACATTTTCTTTTCTAGATCGTATTTACCTGGCTTTTATTCAAGAAAATATCTGCGTCCTACTTAGTTGTTGTAGAAACTAGTTCAGAGAGAGGATCTCCTGAAATTAATATTAGAGCTTTTGTATTTAGAAATGTGTTTGTCTAAGAACAAGGGATCTTAGAATCACAACTAGAGATTAGATGATGATATTGCTCCTTAAGCTAATAGTAGTGTAATTCCTTACTGGTAGTTAAAACCTAAAGTGAACTGAAGTGATCTTGAGAGGAAAACTGCTAGAAAATTCTAAACTATTGTTTCATTCATGCTTTAAAAAAAAAAATGTGTATTGAACAACAGCTATCCATACTCCCGATTTTGTTCTAGGCATTGGGGAAGCAAACAAAGTAAACTTTAAAAATTCTTGTCTTCATGAAGCTTCCATTCTAGTAGGAGGAGTCATGCAAGAGACATAATAAATAAGTAAATTTATGTTAGAAAGTTAGAAGTAGTATGAAGAAAAGTTAGAGCGTGGTAAGGGAAGTGTTCTGTTTGTTTTGGGGCAAAGAGCAATGTTGAAATCAGTGATCAGGGTAGGCCTTACGAGAAGATTACATTTGTGCAGACACTTCTTATTTGTCTTTTCTCTCTCTTTTTTTTTTTTTTTTTACTTTTTATTATGAAAGTTTTAAATATTCACAGAGATTAATGAACCCTCTTTTACCCACTACCCAGCTTCTACATTTTAAGTCATTAAATCAAAGAAGAAATCTAAAAGGACAATCACCCAGTGGGCTCAAGATAGTAGATGCACACCACTCCCCTTTATAAATATAAAAATATTAAGCCTTGTATTTATTTATTTTTAGAATTCACAGAAATTTGAATACTGGAACTAAGAACAAAGCAAAGCAATGGGAAAGGGTGCTTCATTGTTTTCAAATTGCACAAACTACCCCTTGGAGATTCTGATACAGTTTCTCACCCCCCCAAGAATCACTGTAAACAAAATAGAAAATATAAGACTGCAAGAAGCCAGTAATACACAAAACAAAATTAAGCACAATGGAATTATTTTCTCTTTTTTTATCTGTGTATTTCTGAGTTGGTAAAGCAACTACCCTATTTTACAGAGGAGAAATCTGAGGACCTCTCCCTGCCTCCCCCAAAACAAACAAACAAACAAACAAAAACAGAAACTGTCAGTTTATTCGCAGTGATAGAGCTAGAACTAAATCTCAAATCTCCTAATCTCAGCCCAGTCTTTCTGTAGCTCAGGTTGCTTTCTATAGAACAAGAAAGAAAAAATTAGAGATTTATATTTTGGCACAAAGGTTATGGTATTTTTAATATATCAAATATTGAAACCAGTAAATCAGTCATCCCTAGCAAATTTGTATTTATTAATTATAAAAAAAATTCCACAAGTTTGACACTTTATCTTTGATTTTAGCCAGGATATATTCTTTGTGTGGGTGTGTGTTTTTTCCTCCTAGGAAGTGGTGCTCACAAAACCTCTCAAAGCACATAGAATTTATTGTACCCTTAATATTTTTAGCAAGTTGAAATATTTTGAGATTATAAAAGCCAAGTGAAATCTCATCATGACTGAAGTTTTCCTGATCTAGGATCTGGGTTTTATTTTTTCTCACTAGTGACTACTGCCCTTTATTTCCTTCTTGCAATAGAATTCCCTGGAACAGATTAGGTGGTGAGAGGACTGAATGTCATCCAGGGTACTGGGAAAAGCAACAAATCTGCTTTTTCGCATATAAATTATGGAGCTTTCTGTAGCATTCTTCTCCAAATTTAATCTCTGACTTTTATGACATAGTAACTTTTTGTCTCGTAGAAGGGGTTTGGACTCAGTTGAAAATCTTGTGCTTAGTTATCCACGGAGACTTGTAATGAGCCTGATATACAGAGAACACCCTGGACTGGAAATATAGTAAGGTACCAAGGTCTGCAATTTGGCTTCTGCCAGTGATTCAGAACCACCTCCCCACCCTAAGTGAGTAAAAGGATTTGCAATATGAATGGTACGAATCTCCTGGTAATATTTTGGGTGTATATATATGTTCCTGTGTTTTGGAGAGTATAAAGAGTATTTACATTGGGGGCTCTTTTGATGACTTTATTTATTTGAAATTCTTATTTGTAATGGCATGTGCATATTTTTATGATGCTAAATGCAATCTCTGTGTATACTTTTTGTATATATGTACATATTTGTAAATATATTGGTATGCAGTGATACAGTTTGTGTATATTATATACCCATACCCATTGTGGGCTGAATTTATTTAAGTTCTGTGAGGACATCATAGTGGCATTGTTCATGCTGCTGTAATTAGGTTGTGGCTGTATCTCATTCATGAGCTTCTATTTTGAGGGGCTTGTGTTTGGGTAAAATGGGCTAATTTGGAGTTGAAATTAAGACACAAAGATCTTAACAGAAAGCTGGATATTCTTAGCTTTAAAATCATCTACCAATTTTCATTTAAATTGATGATAAATTAGTGATATAAACCTGAAAAACCTAAGTATGTGAAACTGAGACACCAGCAGGTTCTTAAGCTATATTAATTAGTCCTTTATTTTATTGATCCATAGTTGAGTATTATTACTGAGTAGTAAAGTATGTATACTGAGAATCAAGGGGCTGTGGAAAAACATTACTTTGATCACATTTCAAAATAGATAGGGAAATGTCCTTTAAATAGGAAATATGTTCCTAGTTTCCATTTCAATACCTGATACTGAATTTTAATTGTGGAACTTTTCTCTCTTTTTTTTTTTTTTTTACCAATGTGTCTCATTTTATATCTGTCTCTGTGAGGCAGAAAAAGGGGCATTAGCTAGGATAAGGCTTCACCGAGGTGGGGTGGAATTTACTGAGGAACAGGAGGTTGTTAATCTGTATATTTGCAGCAGCTGTGATCAATTTAGTCCTGTCTTGGCATTTCCGACTATAGATTATTCTTATTGGAGCTGCATATCAAAGATGAGTGTGTTCATCTGAGAAAATGCTTCCAGTGAATAAAATGCCTCCAAGTTATATTTCTTTGTCTCTATGAGACCACTTGTGTTCTGCAAATTGATGATATATTCACACATGAGGTAGGATTCTTAATGTTATGTACATGGTGTGCTATAAAATCTGGGCCTTCAAACCTCTACCAAAGATGACGGGTGGGGGAGGATAAGAGGATAGTAATTATGTGCAGTGCCAATTTGTGAACCTATGAAATATCACAAAGCATCTCCTCTCTTCACTGGGCATGTTTATTTGCATGGAAGCGTGTAAAAGATGTTTAATATACTTGAATACGTTCACCGCAGAAATTAAGTAGAGATTATTTTTACATGATAAAATATCACTGCAAAGCAACTGTTTACTTCATTATTCTTCAGAGGATTAAATCTGTCTTATCCAACATTAAATTATATTAGAGAAGTTAGAGTCAGGAGTCGATTGTACCACCTCCAAAATGTTACATTTGCCTCATCATTGTACATCAAGTTATAAATGTTAAAATTTGGTAGTGTCCCATTTTGGAAAAATCAGTGAAAATGTTCGTAGCATTTGATGTCCTGTTTTAGTAACCAAATCATTTATTGCAATGGGAGAGTAGCGGAGCAGATGTTGTGCTATTTAAAATTCATGGAATTGACTCAGGCTCAGTGTGAACATTGATTTGAGGAAAGTAGCAGCAGTAGGTGCAGTAGATGAGATTGACATTGTGAATGACCTCTGACTCTAACAGTTATAAAGCTAGTTCCTTTGCAGTTAAATAAGGTAAGAATTGCTCAGACAACCAAGCCCTTTCCCCGTTCTCCTGTACTCTTTCACATTGATACTTCATACCTACTCATGCTGTACCTCCCATTCTTTCCTGGATAGTCAGACCAGTTGAATTAAAAAAAAAAATTTTTTTTAAGGCAATTTGTTTTCCTCAATCTAGAATTTCAAAATAAATTATGCCCCAGCTTCACTGAGTTTTTGAACACAGATTTCTGAAGCATGCCTTATGTTTAAAGAAAAATTGACGTGTGAATGGAATCAATCACCTATTAAAGAGAAGGGTGTCAGAAGGATCATATAGGGGGCGTGCCCTTAATTGGGTAAAGATAAATGTATTAATATAACTAATTTGTTGGTGCCATAGAAATACTTCTTTCGGAACTCTGTAGATGTGAAATGTTTTCTTAAGCTAAAATTGGTATTTTTCACTTATTAGATTGATATAATACTGACTTTTGAGAAGAATTCCATTTCTGCATAACGCTGTTACTTAATCACTGATTGAAGCACCATTTTTTAATTTTAAAATATTTTTGTTAATTTCTTTTTGTGGTTTTTTTAAAGTTATTTTAGAAGCAAGTTATCAAATTACTTGAAGCAGTGTGATTTTTTTTAAACATATTTGAACAGTAGATCAGAGTTTTTAATAATTTTGAAGTATGTTAATTCTGCACTCCAGGTTCACCTAATCATCAAACCTGAATTTGGTCACAGAACAGACTATAAATTGGGAATATTTTCCTATTTTGGTGGACAATTCCAGTCTATATCCTAAGACAATCATCTTTTTAGGTGTAGTATTGTTTATTGAGACATTGGTAATTTCAGGGTTCATAGGCTTATGGAATGAAAGTTAGTAGCCTGAGTGATTACATCACTTTCAGAATGAGATAGGAATTATAGCTAGCCTTCCTATAGGTCTTCAGTAAACAATATTTAATATTTTGTTACTAATACTTTTTTGGAGCTATCGTGAATGTCCACTTGTCCATGATTTAAAATTAAGATTAGTAAACATTATGATTTGACCCTTAAGTTTTCTCAAACATCAAATCAGTGCAATTAACCATTGTAAAATGTGAAATCATCATATATGATTATCCTAACGTAAATATTTCCAAACCATAGAGAAATAACCACTGTATTTTTAAAAATCTTATTCCTATCCTCCTTTGCATGTTACTGATTTTTTTTCTAAATTATAAACATGTGTTGTGATATATTAAAACTCTGCAAGAAAAATTGCTTAAAATGTTTTAGGGCAATAAGAATTTTTATTACTATTTCTTGAAGAATGAGTTTTTTAAACTCTTGTTTATCTTTTATTAAAAAGAACTTTTAATGGTTCAGTAAAATATTTTAGGAGTTTGTGTTCATAGCTTTTTATATAGTTATCTGGGTACATTCCTTTTGTCACATAGACCATATGGCTAGTTCTCCAACTGTTTTGTTTGTTTGTTTTTAATAAACCTTGCCGTTCAACAATCAGAGAGTCTTATATTTTGGAGGCTTCTTCTAGTTGAGGTAGAAAGGTCTTAGATATTAGGAAAGGCGGGTATAGTGTCCTAACATTTTAATAGTAGAGCTTACAAGAGAAGGAATTTATCCAAATAGGTTTTCAATGTGTAGCACCAGTACAAATAGTGGTTTCATTAATCATTGAATCTGATGAAGCAGTTATTAATCATCTCTTACTTTGTGCTAAAGATTATTGTCATTTCAGGCCACATTATTATTTTCTCTGAGCAGTTTCCATTGTAAGGTTGAATATCTTTTTTTCACTAAAAATAATGGTGAGTCTATTGTCTATGTTATGAATATTAGGCAGAAATGCACTTGTTTCATTCATAGCAGAAATTACATTTGGAGAATAACTTGATTTTCTAGTGGTGTGAAATACTTTTTAAAAATTGTGCTTGTCTGTAACTGAAATGTTATAGAATTATAACACTTTAGGGATTCTAGAGTTATATTTATTAGCTCTTCTCAAGAGAATGAAGCACAATAACTTTCATGTAACAGTTCTTATCCAAGTGCTGCTAATCTGTCGTGCAAATAATGAAGCTGTTTGGTTGCCTATCTAGCTATTTACAGATCACTGTAATCCTTGAGACAGTCTTGTTGCTCGTTTGTATTAAATTTTGGGTACTGTGGGTTAATACTTTAGAACAAAATCCATTAACTCAGCTCTGTGAGACAGCAAACCATTATATATATATATATATATATATATATATATATATATATTACTAGTAGAGTAAATTTTGAAGGGGCTATTTACTACCAATGACTAAGGGGGAAATTATATTGTCAATATCATTTGACTTGAACGTTTGTGGTATTGTAAAAGTCTTGTCTGTTGTGTTTCTAAATTGCTTTAGCCATACATGATCTTAAAGATGTTTTTGTTACGTTCCTTTTCAGCAGCCTCTTTCTCTGCTTTGTCTGTTATGGTTAATACTTCATAGATTTTAGAAATTGAGAGGTTATTGAAACATTTTATTTTCTTGAGTTCATCACATTTGACTCTTGTAAATGTGATTTGTCATAAAGGATAGCAAGCCTTTCACTAACTACTTCACTAAATGAATTTCAGAGTAAACACTGTGATTCTGCAGATTGGAGTCAGTAGGCCCCTGTCTTTCCAATGTTTTCTTCTGTTATATGGTGCCTATCACCTGGAGGGCACTCAAATACTAGAGGATGGAAAGTTAAACATTGTCATTTTGATGTTCATTGAGTAACCAGATTACAGAATATTTGATTTTTTGTTGTCAGTGTATTGAAAGCATTTTTGCATTGATAAGTGTTCTCTAGGAATGTGACTACATTCATCAGGTGTGAACTCTTGTAAATGAATTTTGTATCTTGAATTCACGTATATATTAAGTGTATCATCAATATAAAAATAAACATTATTTGCTTACATTTTTTGTACTTAAGAATTGTTGACAACCTAAGTGCTAAACTGTTTGTTTGCTTCTTTAATGCCTCAGAGATTTTAAAATATTTTGGGGTTGTGGATTCAATGCTATTCACGTTTGTATATTTCTTCTGAGTTCTAGTCTTGGTTTTTTCGCTTCCCTGCTCCTGGTGGGCAGAACTGGGACGCGCAGGGGGAGGGGCTGTTTCTGGGGAAGGGGGAGGAAGCTGCTGACCCTTGCTTGGGCTGTAGTTGGGTCTGGGGCAAGAACAAGAGCAGCTCCAATGTGGAATGCCTGGCTTGGCTGGCACGGAGGCAGAGACCCGATGAAGGCTAATTTGCCACTGTAACTTTGCACAAGGCAGTTTTACCTCTCTGGACTTTCTTCATCTGTCAAACATGCGAGGCCCATTATTAGTGAAATGAGTGTAGTGGGCTGCCACCTGCGTGTTTTTGAACGAAATCCAATATGAGTGCGGTAATATAAATAAGGGTATGATTTTGGAAACTTCTTTCAATGATATATATGTGTCCTGGGATGCACTATAAAACGTGTAACACGAGGCGCGAGGTCCCAGCACTAGTTTGTGGAGCCACAGGCTTCTGTGTGAGGAGAGGGGCACGAACTTGGAGCGAGCACCTACTACTCAGAGAGAAGGCAGGTGTGTAGGGCGTGTGGGATTGGGATGCGGGGAGAGGGCTGGCCCAGCGCAGCCACCGCCTGGGGTCCGCACAGCACCCACCGCACCAATTGGGTTCTTTCCTCGTTTCCACGAGGCTCCTCCCACTTGCTCCGCTCCGCACCGCCTCCTTTAGGAAAAAAAAAAAAAGAAGAAGAAAGGCTCCGGCCACCCAGTCACCATTCGTGGGTCTGACCGCTTGCTGACGTGGCGGTCCGGCTCAAGGGAGCGCCCGCGCCCGTGCCCTCTAGCCGGTCAGGCCCAACCACCGCCCAAAGCTCACTCGGGCGGCCGCGGAGACCGCTCTGGGGCGCATGCGCGCGGCAGGGCGTCCCCCACGCGCAAGCCACTTCCGGCGCGCTGGTAGTAGTGCGGTTCCGGGTCGCTGCTCCGCTCGCCGGCCGGCCGTGGGGGCTGGTGACGCGGGCCGGCGTTCACGAGAGGCCCGGGAGGCGGGGCTGTGCTGGCTGCCCACAGAGCGGCAGGTGCGCGGGTGGGGGTCGGAGACGCGAGCAGGCCCCTTATTCTCTCAGTGGCCTCGGTTCGCCCCCAAAGCGGTCCGGCCGGGGTTGACCCAAGACCCAAGGCGGGGGGCGGTACCGGAGTGCCGAAAGGGCGAGGGTGGGGATAGAGGTGGGCTGCCTGGCCTGGGAGTCTGGAGCCTCGGGTTCCGGGAACCCTCCCTGCGCGACCTTTGACAAGTCACTCCTCTGTGGGTCTCAGTTTCCCTGCTGTCAAAAGGGAGAGATGTGGGGTCCCTCCCTTTGACAGTCCACGCACGGGCGGATCTGGAAGGATCCTGAGTGAATGAGATCCAGACTGCTGTGGCAGGTATCTTGCCTTGCCTTCCTGGGGCGTTAGGCAGCTGTCTTTTACCTAACTTAGCCATCGGTTTTCTCAGCGACTTTCTTAGTGCCAGTCGAGTCAAGGCTGCGGGGTCTGGCAGGTAAACTGTGTGACTGTCAGAATCAACTGAGAAATAAATACTGGCCCTGGGAAACCTTGATCTCATTCAAGTTGCTTTGCTCAGGGCTCCCAATGCCAAGTGAATTTAGGTATCTACTGCAGTGAGCGATTCTATTATTTGTACCTGTAAGGGAAACTCGTAAGCAAATCACAAACGCAAAGGAGACCAGGGTGAGGGAGGGTAGCCGCTGAGGATTGTGGCGGTGACAGATTTCCTCCCTCTCCCCCGTAATTCCCCTCTCCCCCGTAATTCCCCTCTCCCCTCTTGCACTCTCACCCCACAACATTTTGGCCTTACACTTGAAATACCCAGTGCATTTTATCTTTGTCTTTATGCAGGACAGAATGCTTTGATCTCCAGTCTGTTTTAAATTTAGTAGATAATCCAGCTGAGTAGGTGGTTTACAGACATTGAAGGTAAAGTTTTTGAAGAATTGTACAGACTTAAATCGATGATCTGAAGTGGTAAGACATTTGTAGATCTTAGTAAGAAGCAGAGCTTGGGTTAGCTTCCTCAAAACATGAAAAGTTAAGGCTGGAACCAGAATATTAGTGTTTCATACACCATTGGGGGGGAAAAGACGTTTGAATCTCATTGAATATCCTGTAAAACATTCTGAAGAAAAACTGATTTGAGGTCCTTTTAACCATCGTGAAAGAGAACCACCCAGCATTTGCAGGAAATGTTTAAGGATATCTGATATCTATATAATGTAGTTGTCTGGCTTGCCTGGTCTTTTCCTGGTTGTCATCTTTTTCTAGTTAACAGCTGATTGTAAACCATCCTGAAACATTAGAACATAACACTTTTTCTCCAAATTGTGTTACATGTTTTTGTCTTCCTCTAAAAAAACAAAAAACAAAACCCACTAAACTGTAGTTAATATTATTGGGAGAAGGATTCAAAAGCATTACATGTCGTTAATGTTTTCCCTAGAAAATTCTATTTAATATGTTATGGTATAATTTAAAAAAAAAGAGCAGAGACTTGTGAGTCATAGTCCTGAGTTCAAATACCAGCCCTGCCCTTAGTCACAATCTTTGGCACAGCACTTCACCAACTCGGGACTGGATTTCCTTATCTGCATATGCATATGGAGAACCTGAGTGCTTTTTAAATGTTTAGTAATCGTGTTCTTTTAAGTATACATGCAAAATTATGAAACGTAATTTTGAAACTTGAAGCTTAGCATAACAACTCTGATGTGAAATCTCTGCAGTGTTTAACTTAGAGCTCTCTTTCATCTATTTTACAGATAATGTGTTGCCATAGTTCCTTGGCCCACATTTAAGGGGGAATGTAGCCAGCTTGGATGTCTGAAGCTTTTTAGGCACCTGTCTCAGAATTCCTGGTTGCTGGCCTAAGGACCACTGTGGTGGTTCAAGAGCTGGTCATCAGTGCAGGATAGCCACACAGCAAAATGTTTGCAAAACTAAAGAAGAAAATTGCAGAAGAGACTGCTGTTGCCCAGCGGCCGGGAGGTGCTACCAGGATCCCACGGTCGGTGAGCAAGGAATCGGTTGCCTCTATGGGAGCTGACTCAGGAGATGACTTTGTAAGTATCTTTATTAGTTTCTAATATATGGTACCATCTCAATATGTTTTAAAAATAATATTTCAAGGAATTCTTCCAATAAGTATTATATATTCTCTTAAAATTGCAGGATTATTTGTAGTTTATATATGATTCTTCTTTATTCTGAAGTACTTTTCCATATTCTCTACATTGTCCTCTTGTACGTTGTCCTCTTTTTCCGTTTGTATATCTTTTGCATTTTACATTTTGTTTCTCGAAATACTTCAACCCATTGTCTCTGCAGACGTATATACTTTAAGTAATTGTTGCTTGACAAGGTCTCCCTGAGTTGCATTGTGACAGAGTACATTCTTTTATTGGGAAAGTTGATGGAAAGATGGCATTGATGACTGCAGCATGTCCCTTATTTGTAAAGTACCTGTGGTTGGAAAGATTTTTAAAAGTGAGGATGTTGCTGTGTTATGTTAGGTAACTGTCATGCCCTAGGATTAAAGTATGTCTTTGGCATTTGACAGGATCCTCTTAAAGTCAGATAACTTTTTTCAAATGATTTGTAATGCTTGATATATATAAAAGAATGTATATAATGTAAAGTATAAAGTATAAAAGTGAATACTTGTTAATCTGTCACCTAGCCAAAGAACTAGAACATCAATACTGTTAAAGCCACTTGTATGGGTCCCTCCCAATTCCCTTCACCCCCTCCTCTCCAGATAACCCCTATCCTAAATGTTGTGTTTATCATTCCCTTGCTTTTAAAAATATCCTACCAGATATGTATATATTCATAAACTTGAATATATGTGTATGTTCAAAAAATTTGTTTAATGTTGCTAATTTTTTAACTTTATAAAGAATAGTATACTATAGTCTTTTGGGACTTGCTTTTTTTTTAAACTCAACGTGTTTCTAAAATGCATCTGTGTTACATGAAGCTGTGGTTCATTTATTTTTACTGCTGTATAAGATTCTATCATTTGAAAAGGCCAGTTTATCTCTGTCTACCCCTGGTGATAGACACTTGAGTTGTTTCCATGGTCAGATGAATCTTCCTCCTCCTTTCTTATACTACATGAGTGGATCAGATTACATGGCAGAAGCTATCAGGTTATTGGGGTGGAACAATAAGATGACCAGATCTAAGTGATCATTGGTGCCTATATTTAACAGGAAATATAAATGCACATTTGATCATCAGACTGAAGGAGATAGTTTTAATGCTGAGTTCTATGGCAGAAGCACCTGCCTTCCCTTCATTCTGACATGCTAGATGAAGGCCCTCACCTAAATGTATCCCAGATATATAGATTGGCCTGAATTCAGGAAATATTATACTTTGCTTTCAGACTTCTAGAGTAACCTATTTGAACTTGCTATATCCGCACTCCCTATCTTCAGATCCTTGTATCCCATTGCATATATTTGTCCAACCAGATGTTTTTTTCTTCTGGTATCTCAAATTCTAAAATGAACAAAACTGAAATCATTAACTCCATTTTCACATGTGCACCTTCATCCCCCATAGTCACCAACAGGAAACCTTGGAGGCATTTTAGATTCTTCCCTCCTTCACTTTTTGGTGTCCAATCAGTCAACAAGTATTTGGCGCCCATCTCTTAAATATCTCAAACTTACCTTTTCCATTTCATTTACTACCGTGTTTCCCTGAAAATAAGACCTAGCCAGAGAATAAGCCGTAGCATGATTCCTTTGGCATATGGAGGGCATGCACCCCTCTTATGTGGGTTTTATGACCTGTTTCAAGGAGAAGGGTGTCTTTTCCACAAACTCCTTCAGCTTAAAATATTCAGTATGCCAAGGTGCCATATTTTGACACCTAAAATCATGCTATGGCTTATTTTCTGGCTAGGTCTTATTTTCAGGGAAACAGGGTGGTAGTTCATTTCCTTCCATTTTATTCCAGGCTGTCTTTGTTTCTTGGACAGACGTGACCCCCAATAACTCCCAAGGGCAGATCCGTTCAAGTCTCTCCAATGCTTAAATCTACTCAGTGGCTTCTCCATCATCTTCAGGAGGAAGTGCAAACTCATTATTATAATATCATGGTAAACTCTCACGGTCTTGTCACAGCTTACCTATCCAGCCTCTTCTCACTCTACTTTTCCTGCACCCTGTGCACCAGCCATATTGAACTTACGGCACTTTCTGGAATGGACAACATTCCTTCGTGCTTACAAATGTTTGCATATGCTCTGTCCACTCTCTGGAATAGCTCCTATTTTCTCCTTTCACTTCTGCATTCCTCTGACAACTCTTATGTATCCTTTAAGACTGGGCTGATGTTACTTCCAGGAAGCCCCTTGACCTGACCTGCCCCTCACCCCCCTGCACCCTTTATCCCTCTTGGCTGAATTTGGTCCCTGGTCTCCTTCTTACCTCTATAAGAGCACCTATTGCATTGCATTGTTGTTGATGATGTCCTTGTTTGTCTCTCCCACTATACCAGGAGTTTTATGAGAGGCAGTAGAGTGTAACACTTGGGAACTCAGGTCAGGCTATGGGGTCAGACCTGTATTTGCTTCCCCACTCCATCATTATTATGTGACTTTAGGCAAATTCCTTCACTTTTTATGTCTTAGTTTCTTTAATACATCTGAAAAATAGGGATAGGAACTGTACCTGTCGTTATTCAAGTATGTGTGTTAGGGGTCCCCAAGGTTCACCCCAAGGTTTGATTATTCACAAGGAGGACTCACAGGACTCCTGCATATAGTTTTACTCTCTGCTATCGTTTATTATAGTGAAAGGATACAAAGCATAATCAACAAACGGAGAAGGTGCATGGGGCAAAGCCTGGAGGAAACCGGGCACAAGCTTCCAAGAGTCCTCTCCCAGGGGAGTCACACAGGACACACTTAACTCTCCCAGCAATGATTTGTGACAAGACAGGTAAAATGTTGTCTACCAGAGAAACTCATTAGAGACTCAGTCCCCAGGGATTTTACTGGGAGGCTAGTCATGTAGGCACCTCTGCCTAGCACTTAACATTCCAGACTCTCAGAAGAAAAGGTGTTCAGTATAAACCATATTTTCTTGTACAATCAGTTTAGGTACAATGAGCCATTTTTATCAGAAATAGTGGGAACCCTTGCAAAAATCTAAGTTCCCATAGATCAGCCAGGGGCTAACCTTACAAGCAGGCCTTGCTCAGGACAGCAGTCTCAGGCCTATTATGTTCACTCTTTTCTGCAAAGTACATAAAACACTTTGTAGTATAGTGCCTGGCTCTTAACAAGCATTTCATAATTAGTGGTTGCTGCAGCTGCTGCTGTTTTAGGAAAGGACTCTTTGTTTTACCATTATTTCCAATGCTTAGCACAATCCTGAGAATAGGCTCTCACTAACAGTAATAATCATAGCTTCTCCTAATGATATTAATAGATGACATGTATTAAAACTAATTATGTGCCAGGCTCTGTTTTAGGGACTTGACAAGTGTTGATTTATTTAACCCTCATCACAGTTCTGTGAAGTAGATCATATTTGTTATAATAGTTTATATACGAGGAAACCGATGCACAGACAAGTTGACAAACTGGCCCAAGTTGTTATACTTTATAAGTGGTGAAGATGGGACTTTAAGCCAGGTCTTCCACCTCCAGAGACTCCCTCTTAACTATACACTATACTGAGTCTCAGTAAATGGATGGACAAGTGGCTAGACAGGTAAGGGAATATTTGAAGTGAATTGTTCAATTACCTTTAAAGACATTTTGGGAATAAAATAGAGAAAAATGACTAGATATTAAATACTATTATTTTTAATTTTGTTAGGTTCCTGATAATGGTATTGTGGTTACAAAGGAAAATGTCCTTATATTTTAGAAATGTTTATCAAAGTACATAGGTTGAAATATCATGCTGTCTGTTATTTAAAGTACTTCAGTAAACTAAAAATTGATGAAGCAAATATAGGAAAACAACAGCAATTGTTAAAAAAGGTAATTTTCATTAAACCATTCTCCGTACTCTTCTGTATTTTTTAAAATTTTATAATCAAAGGGAAAAAGATAAAGCAAGTAATTTATAAGCAATAGTAAGCAGTGCCCAAAGTCATAAAAGTGATCATATGTTTTAAGATAATGTAGATTGTTGGGCAAAATTGATGTCTCGTGAATATAGTGATTTATTGAATGTGTATTATCTACTAAGCTTTTTGATGCATTTTAGAGCTTTAGATTGACATCCCTTAGTTTTATAGATAAAGATACCAAAGCTTTATCAATGTCAGTGACAGTGTTTCTTCATCACAGACCAGCCTTTGATCCCTTACTAAAGAACCTTCTCTTTATCCCAGGGCCTTACCTTTGGAAAAATAAAGTGATTTCCTTTTTTGTCACTGAAAATATATTTTTTGTATTATGTACTTGGTGTAATATAATTATAATGGATTCCAATAGCATGTATATACACACATACACATATACATACACACATAATTTATCTGTTTAGTGTCCTGTATCTCCTTCACATCATAGATGGAGCTAGTGTTGCTTCTGCTTTACAGTAGAGAAGCTAGGCCCCAGGTAAGTTAAGAAGCTTTTCAGTGATCACAATTAAAGTGTAACCAAACCTGAAATAAGAGTGGTCGCTTTCTGTTCGGTACTGTGGCCTCACACTATTGAAAACCCATGTATGAAACCACCTCTCCTTGTGTCTATCTCAACAGGCTTCCGATGGAAGCAGCTCCAGAGAAGATCTTTCTTCTCAGCTTTTGAGAAGGAATGAACAGATACGGAAACTAGAGGCCAGACTTTCTGGTATGTCCAAGAACTCATAAAAAGCAAACAGGAAATTTGCCTTGCTTGACCCACTCTCCCTATAAAATAGCCTTAGCGTTATTTTGACATATTTTGATCTTCGTAGTCAGAAAGGTGTGACTTGTACCCCCTTTGTTCCCTTCTTTTGTTAGTGTACTAAATAGTATAAATTCAAAACTGAGTTTTAAGGGTTAAAAAAACAACTTATGTTTTTCTGCTCCTGAGGTTTCTAGCCATGGATGGATATAAAAGGGTTAAAAGTATATGTAGAATAGAGTTTGCTTTTGGGTGGAGAGGAGTATGGGGTGCCATTTACATGGAATGCTCAACGGATGTTGGACCCTGCAACACTAGGGGGCTTTGGTGCTATGTTGCCACTTGCTGTGGCTACACATCACCTATGTAAGTGTCATTCTGGCCTTTGGGCCCCTTTTCAGTAATATTTCTAACTTCAACACCTATATAGAAGCTGTAACTCTCATTATGTCTTTTGTGTGCACGTTGCAGTTTACATAACTGCCATTACATTCTTTGCCTGAGCAGGGCATGTTTGTTACAGCTGTGAGTTCTTATTTTGGTTTCTGCCAGTGGATACGTTTTGAAAGCTTCACCCTGTGAAATGGTCAGTGGCTTCTGTGTTTTTGTCCCTTGGCCTTATGCCCATTTTATAGGAGTGAAAGCAGTACACTACAAAATTCACCAAATTGTATGTGAAATATCTGTGTCTGTCTGTGCAGTTATCAAAGGTCCATAGTATAGCTCCCAGCTACTAATTAGTTCTTTATCTCATTTTGTCCTCACTATAGCCTTATTAGGCTTAGTAAGGTTAAGGTCACCCAGGTAGTAGGTGGTAATGCTGAGATCCAAATTCAGATTTGCTGGATGCTAGAGTCTGTACTTTTAAATTACCATCTGCTTTAAACTTGATAGTTACGATCCTGTTTCCCCTACCGTGAATAATGTTAGTAGCAAGTGAAATAACTTTACATTTGTTTCATGCTGTGAAGGAAGCTATAAAATAATATGTACCCGCCCAAATACAGATGGAAGAATAGTTTGGGCTTGACTTACATTAGAGAAGAAGGGACAGAGAAGAAAACTGACATTTATTGAGCCCACTTAGGTTCTGGGTATTTTCCTGTAGGTTTAATATGAATTACAACAGCAGTAGCAGCTACCTTTTATTGAACACTGTGTGCCAGGTGCTTAAGGCATATAAAACACTTAGTTTATTATTTAATACATCCTTTGAGGAAGGTACAATTAATATCATCACTTGATAAGTGAAGAAACTAATACTTAGGATTAATAATTTGCTTAAGGACTGACAGAGTTAGGACTTGAACTAAAGCCTGTCTCCTTTTCCACTGTACCATACTATGTTCTTTGGCACTCAGGTAATTCTGACTTTGACCTGACATGGCAACTCAGTTCCTGTGTAGAAAGGAAGCTGACTTTTCTAGAGCATAAAGTACCTTCACTGTACAGGCAGTATACTGTGGTAAGGCGTTGGCTATTGCCCTAACTGCTGTTATTCAGTTGTATAGACTGTGAGTATGTAGTGAGTCCCCTTTGATCTATTTTGCTAAAACTGGAAGGGGAAGTGAAAACTGAGATTTGAAATTAAGTAATAAGATAATGAGGGTTTTCATAGCAGGGCATTTCTGATGACCAGACCAGGACCAATTCTTGTTCTTTATCAGGGCTAAATAAATCTGCCTGTTTGTATTCACCATTTACACTGTGAATAGTCTGTACTATACCTGTTTGTCATTGTTAACGGGAGGCTGTCTGCCTAGCTTTCCTTAACAGGAATGGTTTTCAGGCTGAGAAAATCATCATCATTTTCACTCATTTTTTTGTTTAATTAACTTCCTTTCCTGATGTTTGTCCGTTCCTGGTATGTGCGTCATCCTCCTCACCCAAGACTATGCTGAACAGGTCCGAAACTTGCAGAAGATAAAAGAGAAGCTTGAAATTGCATTAGAAAAACACCAGGATTGTACGTATTTTTTTTCCTGTTTTTTTTTTTCAATCTTTTTAGGTTTTTAAAATGAAACAATAATGTATGATTAATTTTGTCCTTTGTCATAGCTCAAATCTTTATTTTACAAGTAGTGTACAATATTTCTTAATCAGGTTGATATAACTTTTGTTTGATATTTAATAGAAAACAACTTGTGTTTATGTTGACTTATGGGCATGCTTCCTAGGAGAATCTTATGTGTATCGGCTTCTCTCTATCCAGCTGACCATTTTATTGGCTGCCCTTAGATTTTATTTTAGTAAAACCTAGTGCCCAGCCCTTGGGTCTAGATTAAGAGACTTCGGTTCTCGCCATAGCTTCGGTTCTCAGTCATCGCTGCTGTATTCAGTAACTGGGGAAAATCTCTGTCGTCGTTCCTCCAAAAATAGAACATTTTGTTTAGTCGCTCCTAAACCATATGTTCTCCTTTGGGTTCAGTCAAAGAAAGATACTAACAGAGGTAGAAAGTTATTTATTTTTTTTTAAGATTTTTTTTTTTAATTGGGGAATTGGGGGAAGGGGAACAGAAACGTTGCTGTCCTTTTGTTCTTCAGTCTAATTGTGGAGGACGTTGCTTCACTGGCCCAAGTTGGCANCGAGTGGCTCAGTTGGTTAAGAGCTCGCTCAAGAGTTTGAGCTCTGAGCAACAGTGGTTCGAGTCCAGCCCGAGCTGAGCAGCCGCTGAGCTGCCAATAGGTAGCAGGATGGCTCAGCTAAAAAAAAAAAATTTAAAAAAAATACCTAATTTGAGTCTGCCATCTGTTTCCTGCTAGGGCCCTGATTGACAGTTTGGTAACGTTAGGAAGGCTTTTTGAGGAGGCAGCGGGGAAGGAGGGCATTTCTCCAGGCTCAGCATTGAGAAGATAAGAGAACTTCTTGGCTAGAGTCAGTGAGGAAAATTGATTATTCTATTATAGCACCATAGCTTGTCTAACACTGTGTAGGTGCCTAACGTAATGTATTCCTGGCTCCCAGACATGAACAGGAAGATGACATTTCAAGCCTACAATTAGAAAAGCATTTGAATTTAAAATAATCAGTAGTCAATGCCCTCAGCTCAAATTATATGCAGCAACCTTATTCATTCCTTGTTTTCATTAAGTACTCTTCAGGGTAGAAAAATTACTTCTTAGATTAATCTGTGTTCAGTTGCAAACTATATTTGCTGTTGATTTTATTAAACAGTTGAGTTTTATTATTGCTCCATTCTTGAGATAAAACACCAAGTTAAACCAGCAACTTCCTTTGTGTATTCTGTAGAAATCTGATTATTAAATCAGAATACTTTAACATCTTTACATAAGAAAAAATGACAGAAAAGTCAATCTATTTCCCAAAGAAATGTGTGTCTAAAAAGCTCCTAAGATGGTGTTAATAATCTTATTAAATATGGTGGTATGGGTTATATTAAAGTTTGGGGGTTTTTTAAAGATTTTTATTGGGGAATTGGAGGATGGGAACAGCACTAGGGAATTGGGGGAAGGGGAACAGACAAGTTGCTGTCCCTTATGTTTTTCAGTCTAGTTGTGGAGGATGTTGCTTCACTGGCCCAAGTTGGCAACATCATTGCAGTCTTCCCAGGCGAGGCAGATCAGTCGCCAGCTTCTGGATGGCTGCTCACAGCGGCTGCTGGCCGCTCACTCTGGCTGCTGGCTACACACGGTAGCCCATGGCAACCCACCCAGGGGCTGCAGCCTATACCGTCGCCTGCGACTCACAGCAGCCCAGCTCCAGGTTGAGCTGTTGTTCAGCGTCTTAGCTGTAGAGGGCCGTGTCACTGGCCCTCATATGTGGGATCTGAACCGGGACCCTTTGGCGTCCCAAGCCAGCTTTTAACCAATGCGCCACTCGGCCGGCCCATAGAAAGTTATTGATATACTAAAATTTTTTTAAAAGAAAAAGTGAAGGAAAGGGTTTTTTTGTGTGTGTTGTTTTGTTTTGATTTTTGTTTTTGTTTTTAACTCTGATAAGTGGTAAAGCCATCACTTAGCAACAGTGTTGTTGTTTTCTGGTATTTTGCCTAACTCAGTGTTCTGTCATTCCTTTAGGCATCTCCTAAATGTATATACTTGACTATTACAAAAAAAAAAAACAACAGGAAACAAAAACAAAAAACAAAAAACTGATCTATTACTAAGGCCAAAAGATTCTGGGAAAGTCGAGATGGATCAGGTTTTTCCTAGTCTTGTAATTCACTTATGTGACCTTAGTCTTTTTTGTTAGGTAGCAGTTGTAAAGTAATCACATGGGGTATTAGTCATGCTGTTTCTGAAATATCTCCATATCTCAAATAGAGCCTCTTTGTTAACAGCTTCTATGCGGAAATTTCAAGAGCAGAATGAGACATTCCAAGCCAACAGAGCCAAAATGGCAGAAGGACTGGCTTTGGCATTAGCCAGAAAGGACGAGGTATGTTATATGTGACACTGCCCAAGACTGGTGGAAAGATTTCACTTAGTGACATGATTTCAAAAATCATGACACAAACCCGGTAGAAACTATTTACAACCTAGGAGGAAAGGAATGCTATAGAAGTTCTTTGAGATTTCATTTGGCCTCAGGGTGGAAAATTATCAGTAAACTTTACAGTTATAATCATGAAATGGGTCCAGAATGTGAAGATATCATTCTTCAACTGTGTAGCTTTGTAAAATGGAGAAGAGAAATAGTGTATCCATAATCTGGTGGCACACCCCAAGATAAGGGAAAAGGCCTCTGTCCTCTAAAAACCTAGACCCAAAACACTTACGTTTTATAGTGGAGAAGATGCTATCTCTAGCATCATACATGATGACATAGTTGTTAAAAGCTCTTTTCCAAATGTCTTCAATTCCAGCCAGCTAGATAGAAGGGAATCCCTATAATCTCATTTGAACCATCCATTGAAAAATGCTGAGTGAATGACAATAAGAAGTGAAAATAAAGCTATTGCAGGTTACCACAATAAAGTATATTTTGTTTAATGCCATTTTAAATTTAAGATAAGCATCAAGGTATTATAATGATAATTCTGACTTATTAAGACGTCAATTTATGATATGTTGCATTAAGAAAATCTATAATTTACCTACAGTAGGTGGGGTGGTTGGTTGGTTTGTTTTAAAGTGTATGGTTGTCATCTAGGACATTACTAGCCAGAAAAAAGACCATTCACCAATACTTAGTGAATGTCTATGGTATGAGTGTACATAAATGAAGAAGTAATCTAAAATTGGTGGATTCGGATTGTAGGCACTTGAGATGTGGCCTTTTGTGTCAGTAAATATTTTTTCTCCTGTTCTTTGATTTGTGAATAAGGGATGTAATCCCTTTTCCCTTAACTTATACCAGGTGGCATAAAGCATATTGGTAAAATCAAAATGAGAAGGAAAATAACTATTAGGGGCTGCTGAAGACCCTCCCCTACAGTAAATTAATTTCTAAACATCAATTGAAGAGTCACCAACTCAGCTGGTCCCAGCTACCCATTCCCAAGAAATTATAATAATAATCATAGAAAAACACTCAGGAATAAGCTGAAAAGCTGTATCAGAACAGCAGAGATAGCTTTGTTTGGTTACTCTGCTCTGTAAAAACCTGCAGGCTTATGTTGGTGTTCTAGAATTTTATGCAAAGTTCATTTTCTTCTTTTAAGACTCTTGGCTTTTAAAATATTAAGCTAACTTCATGGGTTTTTTAAAATTTACTATTTTGGTTGGTTAGTGGGTTGCTTTGGGGGAGGGGTAGCTTGTATTGTTTTCTGAAAATCTTGATATTACTGATACTTTTCCCTAAAAACTGTACTTTTTTATTGTTTTAGGAATGGTCAGAAAAAGTGGATCAGCTCGAAAAGGTTAGTTCATCTTTATTTTTGTCTCATTATGAATGTTGGTCTCTTCTGTGGGGCTTAGAAAATGGTTTCTCCAGTGTACTGATTACCAAACCGCCTCTTAGAAGCAGGGCACTGGATAATTAGACATTGGCTTGAAAAGCTGTTGTCTTCCCCTCTCTTGGTGGGTGTGCCCTCCCAATATACATACTTTCCACTCCTCTTTTACCTTTGTCTGTGTCCTGAAGGCTGATAGGACCTGCATCAGTAGGGCTCCATTGCCCTCTGGCTTCTGATTGGGTTTCACCAGTGGGAACATGAAACAAAAACTCTGTGTGGAAGAAGAGTGTGGTCAGGATGTTTATTCGCCAGCCTTCTCCATGTGGGATCCCTTTAAGTTACTTGTATCCATGGCCCAAGGTCACAGCTTCAGACGGACCTGTGGTTTACCCTCTTGGCATAGTTTCTCTCTCTGGGTTTCTTGTAACTTCATCTCTTTGCCCCTTCATGCCCAACTGTTACTAGCACATTTTCTCTTTTGGATTTTCTTACCCTGCCCCACAACTTTGAAAAGTCCTTTTATTAAACTCTCCTCAAAATACCTAATTTGGGGCCGGCCGAGTGGCTCAGTTGGTTAAGAGCTCGCTCAAGAGTTTGAGCTCTGAGCAACAGTGGTTCGAGTCCAGCCCGAGCTGAGCAGCCGCTGAGCTGCCAATAGGTAGCAGGATGGCTCAGCTAAAAAAAAAAAATTTAAAAAAAATACCTAATTTGAGTCTGCCATCTGTTTCCTGCTAGGGCCCTGATTGACAGTTTGGTAACGTTAGGAAGGCTTTTTGAGGAGGCAGCGGGGAAGGAGGGCATTTCTCCAGGCTCAGCATTGAGAAGATAAGAGAACTTCTTGGCTAGAGTCAGTGAGGAAAATTGATTATTCTATTATAGCACCATAGCTTGTCTAACACTGTGTAGGTGCCTAACGTAATGTATTCCTGGCTCCCAGACATGAACAGGAAGATGACATTTCAAGCCTACAATTAGAAAAGCATTTGAATTTAAAATAATCAGTAGTCAATGCCCTCAGCTCAAATTATATGCAGCAACCTTATTCATTCCTTGTTTTCATTAAGTACTCTTCAGGGTAGAAAAATTACTTCTTAGATTAATCTGTGTTCAGTTGCAAACTATATTTGCTGTTGATTTTATTAAACAGTTGAGTTTTATTATTGCTCCATTCTTGAGATAAAACACCAAGTTAAACCAGCAACTTCCTTTGTGTATTCTGTAGAAATCTGATTATTAAATCAGAATACTTTAACATCTTTACATAAGAAAAAATGACAGAAAAGTCAATCTATTTCCCAAAGAAATGTGTGTCTAAAAAGCTCCTAAGATGGTGTTAATAATCTTATTAAATATGGTGGTATGGGTTATATTAAAGTTTGGGGGTTTTTTAAAGATTTTTATTGGGGAATTGGAGGATGGGAACAGCACTAGGGAATTGGGGGAAGGGGAACAGACAAGTTGCTGTCCCTTATGTTCTTCAGTCTAGTTGTGGAGGATGTTGCTTCACTGGCCCAAGTTGGCAACATCATTGCAGTCTTCCCAGGCGAGGCAGATCAGTCGCCAGCTTCTGGATGGCTGCTCACAGCGGCTGCTGGCCGCTCACTCTGGCTGCTGGCTACACACGGTAGCCCATGGCAACCCACCCAGGGGCTGCAGCCTATACCGTCGCCTGCGACTCACAGCAGCCCAGCTCCAGGTTGAGCTGTTGTTCAGCGTCTTAGCTGTAGAGGGCCGTGTCACTGGCCCTCATATGTGGGATCTGAACCGGGACCCTTTGGCGTCCCAAGCCAGCTCTTAACCAACGCCACTCGGCCGGCCCTTAAAGTTTTTTTATCTTAAAATAAACTCTTACGATTATAGCAATTGAAGTTCTCATTGGACTATTTTTTTATCTTTTAAAATTATGGTAAATAGGATCCATATAGGCCTGGACTAAATAAAACCTACTTCAGTTCACTAAGGAGATTGTTCTCTTTCCCCCTCACTCCCCGAAGGAGGGGTTGGAAATATTTCAGACCAGGAATATTTTAGACCTACACACCTGTGTAGGTCTTTGAAGCCACTGTGATTTTTTGAAATGTTATTTTTAGACTGTTTTAATTCCTTTTCATTCTGAATTGGAAACTGCAACAGCAGGGTTTGTGCTTACGAGAATCCATCTCGGGAAGTTATCATTTAGTAAATTGTAACCTGCTGACACCAGTCATGTCTAATTTTTGTTGACTTGCTACCTGAACTTGTTAACCTTACTCAGTTCTACTTAAATGCATCTAATTTTTTAAGGGCATTCAGTCATACTCCAGTTATTCGTGTTATTCAGCCAGGTTAGCCTATCACTGAGAATAGACATGGAAAATGTATATCTGGAGTTGCTAAGACTAGAAGGTGTTAAGTAATTTGCCCTTATTCCCCTTATTCACAACTATCATTTAAAACACATTTATTTTTAACTTAAAAAATTTGTAGATAATGCCATATTGGTCATAATTACTGTAAAGCTTCCTGTTCTCAATGTGTTATTGTCTACTGACACGAGATTTCCTTAAGATTTTTCTTTATTAAGAATTCTGCTTACATAGTATGATTTCTAATGTCTTAGTTGCCTGAGTTGATGTCTTCTTCCAAATAGGAAAAAAGGTTTCTGACAGCTCAATTACAGGAACTGAGGAACCAGAGTCTGAATCTTTTCCAAAGAAGAGATGAAATGGATGAATTAGAGGGGTTCCAGCAGCAGGAACTAAGTAAAGTAAAGCACATGGTGCGCATTTTTGTTTTAGTAGCTAAATGCTGAATAGATTATTAATTATTCTGAGTTGCTAGTCATCACTCTCTAAGTGCTGATAAACATGCCCCAGTAGTCTTTGATATTAATCATATTCATGTGTGTTTCAATTTATTGACGAGTTCTGTTTGAAATCTGTTTTCTTTCTTTTTAACTACTGGGCGTATAAGACCACTTATAAGCTCACAAAAATGTAAACGTTTGGCTTATTGGTCTATATTTTTTTTAATTATATTGCTTAGTAGTGGATCAGTGAAACTTTATCTTTATATCAGCTTTTAAAAAAAGAAGAAAGTCTGAGGAAAATGGAGCAAGAGTTGGAAGCACGAACCAGAGAACTTAGTCACACCCAGGAGGAGTTGATGACCTCCAATCAGATGTCATCAGACTTAAGACAGAAGCTAGAAGAACTGCAGAGACACTACTCAGCGCTGGAAGAGCAGAGGTTCTTGCTTGGTCTGTGGGGCCCCTGGGAAGCGGTTTTCGTGTAACCCTCGCTATGGCCCGCCCCACCTTTCCCCATTGCTCATTGCAACACTTTCCAATCTCAGCACTGACAAAGGCTTCTGGGCTTGTGCTGCCTGCCACGGGCTCAGGATCCCCCATTCCCCTTCACCTGCCTAAGCTCAGAACCCCTCCAACCCCGCTGAGCAATTCATTGGTTTCTGAGCTATTGAGTAACCAAAGGCAGATCAGGATTTCTTGCTTAAACCTGGCTGGAGTTTTTCTCTTTGGGTTTCTGCTTCAGAGAGCCAAGGAGTCTTCTCCATTGATAACCTTCACTTGGCTAATGTCTGCAGACCTGACATGCAAAGAACCATCTGTATTTTATCTGTGGAAGAGTATCTTAGATGAGAGATCCAAATTTGTTTATTGTCTGTTTTCTTTCAATGAAGAGATCATGTGACAGCTTCAAAGACAGGTGCAGAAAATAAGATCACAGAGCTGGAGCAAAAGGAACAAGAGCTCCAAGCATTCATTCAGCAGCTTTCCATTGATCTGCAGAAGGTAAGTAAGCAGAGTGCTAGGAGTGGACCCTGGTTCCTAGGATTCACGAATGGGGTGAAAACTAATTCTGTCAGAAAGTTCCGCCTCTGGATGGCTACTGAAGCTTGTTTCTCACACAGTCACATTGCCCTGGTTCCTGTTCTAGACAGGCTGCATTCAGATGGCAGTGACCATGCAGCTGAACAAGGGTTGCTTAAAAGAAGAGATCAGAATTGTCCGGACGGGAATTCTCAAAAGCGCACCCTTTGATCTACTCAGATATGTGTTAAAATACTACACAGTGGACCCTGAGCGTAAGAATACGTTAACAGTTGTGGTTGATGTGGCCCAAGTTGTACCTTTGACATACCTGGTTCTAATCCAATTTGTTCAAAAGCACATAAATGTTACCATTACAATTGGTTTTTTTATTTGGCCAACATACATTTATTGCCCTCCCAGGCATGTACTAAATTCTCATAATATAATGAACAATAATATTATTATTGACTGTAGAGTAGTGTTTTTCTGTGGTATGTTTCTTGTCACCATTTTGAGCAGAGCAGTTTGTATTCTGTGATTGTCCCTTGCAGTGCAGGACATTTAGCTTTCCTGGACCCTGGGTTCTGAATGCCAGCAGCATCCTTCAGGCATTGACAATCCAGCCCTTCCTCTCTGTGACAAAACACCCCCTAGAGAGTGGTACCATGAACCCTACCTTCATCCCTTGAGAACCACTAATTTCAAGTACAAGGAAGACTTATATCATCATTACAGTACAGTAAGATTTGTATAAATAGAAGTCTGTATATCCCTTCCAGCTAAGTTATTAGCATACTTCAAATACCTAAATCGAAACTAAGAGAGGTTATATACTTTGTTCAAAGTTACACAGTGACAGCTGATTTCTAACCCAGGTCTTACTCCAAAACTCATGCTTATTCTATGGGGCTTTTTGTCTCACAACAAGGAGCACTCAGTAAATAGATCTTATGCAAATAAATGACTGTGGTACAAGGTCTCTACCCTCAACAAACTGAAAGTCTAGACACATACAGTATTTTCTTCCAGAGGCTTACAATTTTGTTATGGAACTCAAATCTCCTGTGACCACAAGAAAAAAAAATTCAGACTTAACAATTCCCAAATAGAGTTTTCAGATTCAGGAAGGTATGCCATAAGGAGAGTGCATTTCCAGCGTAGGAGTCAAGGAACTCTTCCTGGAGGAACTGGAATTTCAAGGATGGGTAGGACAGCAGGAGGGAGAGAAGGCAGAAGGATACAGAATACATCTGGGGGTAGGTGTGGAGGGAATAGCGGACACAAAGTTTGGGGATTTGAGGGACCCTTTGATATCCATTAGAACCATCATTCCATTTTATAATTGGAAAAAGTGTCCACTCTGGTTACACCAAGATCCCTCATTAATTCTAAAAATATGATTTGAGCTTTCCTATGTATTAGAATTACCATGGTGAGCAAAACAGATACTGCCCTTGCCTTTGTGGAACTTACAGTCTAGAAGGGAAGTCAGACATTAATGAATAATCACATAAATATGTAAGTATAAACTGTTTTATGCGTGCTGTGAAGGAAAACTACAGGAAGCTGTGAGATCCTGTAAGAGGGCATCAGATCAGATCTAGCCTTGGAGTCACAGATCACCACCCTTGAGACAGTAGCACTTGAGATAACTGCTGAGGCTGGAGGGAAAGGGATGATGGGAGAAAATTTCAAGCAGGGAACAGAAGAACAAAAACCCAGAAACCCTGAGGCAATAAAAGGATTAGCACATTCTAGGAACTTGAAGAAGGAACTAGAAGGGTAGCACACAAAGTAACGGAGGAGAATGGATCTCTGGCTCTTAGGAGGAAACATTGAAAGGGTTTCCAGTTAGGAAACTCTTGGGGTTGTCCAGGCATAAGGTGGTGGCTTTGACAAGAGTGGTGGTGCAGATAATGGGAGAGTAGACAAATTTAAGAAATAGTGAGGGGACTGCCCTATTTGCTGATGTAATGGATGTTAAGAAGGGAGCAAGAGAAAGGGAGACATTATGGATGATTTCTAGGTTCCTGGCTTAATCAACTCAGTAGCTGATATTGTCAATCGTCAGGCTAAGAGGATGGGCAGTTTTATTATGAAGATGAGGCGTTTGGAGTCAGTTTTTTTCTTATTTTATGTTAAATAGATATAAAATAATATTTGTAAAATATAAGTAAGGTAGAGAGTATAACAAGGCAGTGAGCCCTCGTTTAGCTACCTGCCAGGTTAAGGAAAAGAACAGTAAGTTCATCGTTGAGGTTCCCGGTGTGCCCTTCACAAGTCTGTCCCACCTTTTTCTGTAGTAAGTAAGCACTATCCAGAAATTGTTCCATTTCCTTGCTTTGTGTTACAATGTCATCATATTTTATCCCTAAACAGTATCTTTCATTTCTCATGCTTGCTAACATTATATAAATGAAATCATGCTGTAGGTATTCTTCTAAAACTGGCTTTTTGTGCTCAATACTGTATTCCTGAAAAACATTCCCATGGACTCATACAGCTTTCATTTATTCTTTTCTAAACTGTATAATGTGGAGACACTAGAATGTATTTATCCATTCTATTGACAGTGGACGTTAGGGTGTTTCTGGACTTTTACTTTTACAAACAAGGATGCTGAGAACGTCCATCTACCTGTGCAAGAGTTACTCTAGGGTATATTTAGACATGAAAAGGTTAGGTCAAAAGATTTGTAGTTTTTCAACTTCACTAGATAAGGCCCAGTTTTTTCCCATACTATCTAGTAATTTATACACTCTGAAAAGCAGTGTATAGGAGTTTGGATTCTGCTTTCTTGCCAACATGGCATATTGTCAAACATCATTTTTGCCAGTCTGATAAGTATGAAATATTATCTCACCATGAATTTAATTTGCTTTCCCAGATCACTAATGAAGTTGAGCATCTTTTCCTGTGTTCATCAGTCATTTATGCTCTTCTGTGAAGTGCTGATTCATATCTTTTGCCCATTTTCGATGACATTTCCTGTCTTTTTCTCATTAATTACAGGAATTCTTTATATATGTCCTGGCTACTGCACTCCTTTGTCAGTTATATGGATTGCAAATGTCTTCTCTCAATTTTGGGCTTGTCTTCACACTATTTATGGTCTCTTCTGATGAACATATGCTCTTATTTTTAGTACAGTTGAATTTATTATTTTCCATTAAGTTTATGCTTTTGTCTTTTTACTTCTTTTTTTTTTTTATGCTTTTGTCTTTTAAAGAAATCTTTCCTCACTCAGGATCATAACATTATTCTCCTATGTTATTATCAGAAAGTTTTATAGTTTTTTAGGGGGTTTTTTTGGATCACCAAATCCTGTTTTATTCTGCATTATTATCTTTTATTTATTTATTTAATTTATTTATTAGTTTCAGGTGTACAAAACAATGCAATAGTTATACTTTTCACCCCTCACAAAGTGACTACCTCCTCCCCCATTCAACGACAGTTTTATAGTTTTTGCCTTTTATATTCAAGTCTTGAGTATGCCTAAAAATGTGATTTGGGTGTGGGAAAGGGATCTGTAGTCTATTTTTTTTCATTGTTTTGGTACCATTTTTTGAAAAATCTGTTCTCACTGATCTGCAATGCCAGCTTTGTCACCATTCAGTTTTCCATACTTATGTGGAACCACGCCTGGGCTTTGGGGGTATGTATGCTGATGCAGTATTTCACAATACGATGCATTGATTGCCTTACTGGCTGTGGTATTAAGATAAGTCCTGGCGTCTGATAAGACAAGTCTCCCCACCTGGTTCTTTTTCAGGAGTATCTTGACTATTCTTGGCCTGTTGATCCTCCATAAAACAGCTTGTCAAGCTCAAAAAACCTGTTGAGATGGTAATTGGAATTGCATTGAATCTGTAGATGTATTTGGGGAGCATTAATTGTTTTATGATGTGAGTTTTCCTATCCAAAAACTTGTTCTGTCTCTCTCCAGATATGCAGTACTGCTATTTTTTTGAATGATTCAATAAGGGTCTGTAATTTTGTCCATAAAAACTTATCTGTTGTTAAATTTATTCCTACGTGCTTTATTTTTTTTACACCAATTCTTAACTGTCATTTTAAAAATTACTTTTTGTATTTGTTGCTGGCATATAGAAATACTGTTATTTTTGTATATTGGGGTTTTTTTGCACAGGTTAACTCTTATTAAGCTTCAAATGAATCTATAGGGTCTTTGAGCTTCTTTAATAGTAATCATATCATCTGAATAATGACAATTTTGTTTCTTTTTTTCCCAGTTCTATACCTTATTTTTTTCTTTACCTTATTCTGCTAGGTTGTTTTCTTATTGTTGAGTTTTAAGAGTTTCTTTTATATTTTGCATAACAGTCCTTTATCAGATGTGTCTTTTGCAAATATTTTCTCCTAGTCTGTGGCTTTTCGTTCTCTTAACATCATTTTATGCAGAGCAGACATTTCTCTTTTTTTTTTCAGCTGAGCCATCCTGTCAACACTCAGCGATAGCTCAGCTCAGGCCAGGAATCGAACTGGTGACCCTGTTGCTCAGAGCTTGCACTCTTGAGCGAGCTCTTAACCAACTGAGCCACTCGGCTGGCCAGAGCAGACATTTCTAATTTTGATGGAATCCAGGTTGCTAGGTTTTCCCCTATGGTATATTTGCAGAATTTCGTAGTTTTGAGTTTTATGTTTAGGTCTATGGTCCATTTTGAGTTAATTTTTATGAGCTGTGTAAAGTCTGTATTCAGATGAATGTTTTTGCACGTGGATGTCTAGTTGTTCCAGCATCATTTGTTGAAGATGCTATCTTTGCTCTATTGTATTGCCTTTGCTCCTTTGTCAAAGAAGAGTTGACTATATTAGGGGGTCTATTTCTGGGCGCTCTGTTCAATCCCATTGATCTATTTGTCTATTTTGCCAGTGCCACATTGTCTTCACTAGTGTAGCTTTATAGTAAGTCTTGAAGTTGGATAGCATCAGTCTACCAACTTGGTTCTTTTCCTTCAATATTGTGTTGGCTATCCTGGGTGCCTCTTCGTATAAACTTTAGAACCAGTTCATCAATATTCATAAATAAACTAACTTGCTGGGATTTTTATTGGGATTGCATTGAATCTATAGATCAAGTTGGGAAAAACTGACATCTTAACATACTGAGTCTTCCTATTGATAAACATGGATATCTCTCCATTTATTTTTTTTAATTTTATTTATCAAAGTTTTGTAGTTTTCTTCATACGGATATTGAACATATTTTGTTAGATTTATACCTAAGTATTTCATCTTTGAGGGTCTTAATGTAAATTAGTGGTAGTGGTGGGTTGGTCCTAATTTCAAATTCCATTTGTTGATTGTTGGTATATAGGAAAGAAACTGACTTTTGTATATTAACCTTGTGTCCTGCAACCTTGCTATAATTACTTATTAGGTCTGGGAGGTTTTTGTCAGTTCATCTGGATTTTCTACATAGACAATTATGTCATCTGCAGACAAAGACAGCTTTTATGCTTTCCATTTATTTCCTTTTCTTGCCTTATTGCATTTCTGTATACCTTTTATTTCTTTTTGCATTAACTTATTGCATTAGCAAGGACTTCTATTGTAGTACAGTGTTGAAAAGGAATGGTGAGAAGGGACATCTTTGCCTTGTACCTGAACTTAGAGGGAAAGCTTTGAGTTTTCTCACCATTAAGTGTGATGTCAGCTGTACCATATTAGGTGCTGAGGGCCTGAAGTAAAGCCTCCAGAGTGGAGAGGGGACTCCATGTGGGATGTGGTATGCAAGAAAAAGAAATGGAAGTTGGCGACTGATTCTTTTTCTGTCCCTAATTCTGCCAGACACAGTGACCGGTATATGACTTGTTTGTTCTTTTGGTTTTCAGTAGAAAGGGTCAGCTATATCTCTCAAGTTCAGGTTGATGTGTAGTAGAACAAATACAGGCTTTGATCTAGAAAACCTGGGTTTGAATTCTTTATCACTAGGGTGTGTGCTTTTGGGCTAGACCCCAAACTTCAGTTTCCTTGTAAATGAACATGGTGAAGGGTGGTTATAAGGACTAGAGATAATGGGAAGTGCTTACACACACTCTGCAAATTATAGCTGCTATTGCTGCTATAGTGATTATAATTATTGCTATCACTATCAATAATATTATTAGTAAGAGACCCATAAAAATGGGTCAACATGGCCAAAATTTGTTTTTCTTTCCTGTCAGAGTCCCTCTCCCTTCTGTGTTCTCTGCCTTGCATAAAGTTACCTTTCATCCCACTCCAACCCACCACTTCCATCATAGCTAAAGAGATAGACTGAAGGAAATAAGTGAGCAGCTGTTGGTTTGGGGCTAAGGTATGAGATGCACTTCAGCCCTGTTGTCCCTGAGCTGTGAGCCAGAGTGTATATCATCATTTGTTTTAGAAGTTATCTGTTCAGCTACATTGTCACTATCACAGCTTCATCCAGCCCATGTTTCTGGTTCCAAGAGCATTGTTCTGTAGGTCATTGTAGGGCTGGCTGAGAGCTTCTTGAGTGGGGTTACCTCTGCTGGATTTTGGCATCTGGGGTAAAGACATAGGTCCTGTTGGCCTCTGGATTAATAGGATTAAACACATGCTTGATGAGAGTAGAAGCATTCCTTTGGCTAGTAGATCATCACAATACAGTCTAGTTATTTTAAAGAGGAGGAGCATCTTCCCAGGGTTCTGGCTAGATTCCACAGAGGTAATAGCATGGTTCCTTCCCAGATTGACAGTTGCTTAAATTGGGGCGAGCTTTTTCCTCTTGCTGTACTAGATCTGAACTGGATGCCTCAGTGGTGCTGGATTCTGATTTTGTATCTCCTGTGTCCCGTTTGCAGGGAAGATTTCCTGGCTGTGTGTTCTATCTAGGATGCAGTTGAGAACAGAGTGTCAGGCAAACCGGATGGTCCTAGAGGAAACAGAAAGGGAGGGAGAGACAGTTTTTAGTGTAATGTAATCTCTGCTTTCCCTGCAGGTCACTGCTGGAACTGAAGAGAAAGAAAAACTCATCACACATTTGCAAGAGAAAGTCACATCCTTAGAGAAGAGACTGGAGCAGAACTTCTCAGGAGAAGAACATGTGCAGGAACTCCTGAGAGAGGTAACGAGCTCTTTGGGCCACTCAATGCTGGGAAGGCAGTTTGGGGAAGGAAAGTTCATAAAATCCTAGAGTTTCAGAGCCGGAGAGTCTGCATACAGCTTGGTGAGAAGAGCACTCCCTCCGACTTCTGATTGTCCTGCTTACAAAAACAGTCTTCTGTCACCTGAATGTGACATGTTTTCCCCAGGGAAAGGAAAAGCTTTGTTCAGAGATGCCTATGAACAGTAGCATCCTGGTCACCAATAAACCCCACCTAGTGATTTACTCCACTGGGGTTGACTTGTCTTGCTGCTCTGCTCTCCTCCTCCCTTTTGCACTTTCCATTGGCCAAGGAAAATAGTTGCCACCTGCCTTTTGCTTGAGCGAGAGTTGCTTTGGTAGCAAGTGGACTCTCCTTAATGAGGGAGGCTATTGAGCAGACTGACCTTTCGCCCAGTGGTGTAGCTGAACTTGCCTTCTCATCAGGTCTGAGCTCATTGTCTACCCACATTCGGCCCCTCCTCCTCTTGGTATACCAACGATTGGCCTCACTGTGACAAAGGTAAAAAGCCAAGGCCTTGGGCCTGCGTTAGACCCTCACTGTCTTTAGTTAGTTTCAAACTAAATATCTCCGTCTCGGGCTGGCCAAGTGGCTCAGTTCATTACGAGCGTGAGCCCTGAGCAACAGGGTGGCCAGCTTAATTCCCACATGGGCCAGTGAGCTGCGCCCAAGCTGAGCTGCCGCTGACCTGCCAACAGGTGGCAGGATAGCTCAGCTGGTGAGAGCACGTGCTCCTAACAACAAGGTTGCCAGTTCAACTCCCTCATGGGATCAACCAAGATTGAACACGGCACCTTGAGCTGAGCGGCCGTGAGCTGCCAAGCGGGCGGCTGGATGGTGACTAGATGAGCTAGCTGCTCCCTCCACAACTAAGTGTGAAGGATAACAACTTGTCTGTTTCCCTTCCCCAATTCCCCAACAGTGTCCCCTTTCCTCAATTCCCCAATAAAATCTTTAAAAAACAAACAAAAACAAAATCTCCGTCTCCACTGCCACTGTTGTACTTTAGGGCTTCCAGAATCTCTAGCCTAGTCTATATTGGAAGTCTGCAGACTGGCCTACCCAGCATCATTGTGTCCTCCTTTGCCCTCTGACTCTTCCACACTCACTGCCAAACTGACCTTCCTAAACTTAAAGATCTTCCACAAATCCCCTACAGTCTGCAGTGAGTATAATGTGGGCTGTAGGGTAGAAATTGATTTCTAGAACCAGACTACCGAGGTTTTTATCTCGCCTCTTCTATTTACTAGTTTGTGACTTAGAGCAACTTATGTAATCTCTTTATGTTTATTTTTTTCCTCTGTAAAATAGGGTTAATAATTATATCAAACACATATAATTGTTATTAGGATTAAATAAGTTAGGATATGTGAAGTGCATAGAATGAGGCTTAGAACATTAGTAGGATCTCAGTGTATTTCAACTATTAATAATACAATGATTATTATTGTGCATCAACATTATAAAGTTTAGTGTGCATAGGAGTTACTTAGAGAGTTTGTTTAAAGTGTATACCATCTCTAGCCCTACCTTCATAAATTCTGATTTCAGTAGGCCTGGAGTAAGGCCCCAAGTTTAACAACCACTCCCCCAGGTAAGTTTTAATGCCAGTGTTCAGACAACCTCTCTTTGAAAAATATTGCCTGTAGAATTAAATTCAAGCTCCTTTCTGCACCACAAAAAGCTTCTCATGACCTGGTCCTTTTGCCTAACTTTCTAGTCTTGTTTGTTGACCTGACCCCACCATCACTTTAGCTTTTGGCAAGTTGTAGCTCCCCGAATGTCCCAGGCTGTTTGACACCATCACTGGTCATCCCTCTGCCTGTGTGCTCCCCCTGCCGCTGGCCACCTGTTAATTATGAAGCCTCACTTGCCTGAGGCCATATCCTGCTTTTTGCTTCTGTAAAAGAGGGCACCATTGCACTCTATTATATAATGTTTTTGTTAGTCTTTTGTCCCAGCCTCAAGGTCAAAGGACTGTGTCAGACTTACCTGTGTATACTTTATGATATGTGAATTTTGTCTTAATTAGCTGTCATTTCAATGCATTTGTGTCCCTTAAGCCTTACACAAACCATAGTATGCTGTAGAGTCAGTAAATATTTATTCAATGGAGAGATGACTATTTTCTTTTATTCTTCTTTCAACTTAAAGAAAACAATTGCTGAGCAGAATTTGGAGGATACCAGACAGCAGCTCTTGGCAGCTAGAAGCAGACAGGCCGAGGCCATTGACACCCTGGAGACTCGGGTACTGACCTCACTCCCAGTGACTGCGATGTCTGGGTGGTAACCTGGCATGGTTGTGGCTGAGGGTCCTTGGGTCAGAAGTTTTCTTTCAAAGGGAATATTTTTTGGATCTTACTTATATAGGGTTGGATTAGTCATTTACTTCATTCTGGTCATATTACCATCATTGTTCCACACAGAGTTGTTTGCTATTCCCTTTTATCCCCATTCCTCTTCCTCCCATAGGAAACCATTCTAACGCTGTTAATAGAGATCCTTGTATTGTTGGGTTGCCCGAAAATAGGTAGCATTTTGTGTGCGCGTATATATGTAACTGATATAGGTATGCATGTGTCTTCTCTGTTACTTTCTACTCCATCTTCTATCTGTGCCTACTTCATTGTACTTACCTGCTGTCCTTTGTAGTTATCTACTAGATGATAGACATCCCAATTGCCTTCTTCTGTCACCACAGATTACTCTGCAGGGAACCTCCTTGTCTCTGTCACCTTCAGGAGGAGAGAGAATGCATATGACCTAACATGCCTAAATAGGACAAGGATGTTCTCAGCAGGGCTTCACCTGGCCCTACTCCCCCATAATGCACAAGGGTTCCTGCATCTGGCATTTCTCAGCCTTTTCATCCTGGTGCCAGTTTAATGAATGTGAAGCTATGTAAGGGGCAAAGGATCTCTGTGGGGCCGCTTTAATCAGAGTGCTAATCCCGTTCCTGAGGGCTCTACCCCTATGACCTAAGCACCTCCCAAAGGCCCTACCATCACATTAGGCATTAGGGTTTCAGCATACACAGACTTTCAGACCACAGCAGATTTAGTTCATTTGAAAAATCTTTCTTATTTTCTGATAAATATATTTTAAGGTTTATTTTTCTCTAAATACATCTTTGTTTTATTATAATTCCATTCTATTTCTGAATATCCATTTTTTCATTGTGGTAAAATATACATAACATAAAATTTACCATTTTAATCATTTCTAGCTGTACAATTCAGTGGCATTAAATCCATTCACGTTGTGCAACCATCACTACCATTCATCTTCAAAACTTTATCTTCTCAGACTGAAATTCTGTATCCACTGAAACAATAACTCCCCATTCTCTCCTTCCCCCCACCCCCAGCCCCCAGCAATTACCACTCTACTTTCTGTCTCTATGCCTCATATTAGTGGAATCATGCAATATTTGCCCTTTTGTGTCCAGCTTATTTTATTTTGCATAATATCCTCAAGGTTCATCCGTGTTGTAGCATGTGTCAGAACCTTGTTCCATTGTATGTATATACCACATTTTGTTTATCCTTTCATTTGTTGATGGACATTTGGGTTGTTTCTACCTTTTTGCTGTTGTGAATAATGCTGCTTGAACATTAATGCAGCACAATGAACATGGTTTTTGTGTGGGTTCACACTTACATTTCTCTTAGGTATATTCCTAGGAGTGGAATGCCAGGTCACATGGTAACTGTACCTCATCTTTAGAGGATCTGAAATATTTCTGGAGTTTTGCTTCTAACTAGGACTTGGGTAGATATTTTCTGAACCCAGAAGTTTAAAAAGTTAGGCTTCAAGACTATACTTTCAGGGATCATTTCTATAGTACATTACTAGAGAGGTTTCTCTGATCGTGTAGAGCACCCGAAACCACGAGGAAGAGTCATAGTGTCCTTTTCTGAGGGTGAAACCAGCTTTTGGTGCTGCTTTCGTAACTGTCAGTTGCCATTGATGATCGTTCTTCTTCTCCGACTGGGGAAGTAAGAGGGGGAAGGATGGCGTCTGAGTGGTTTCGTTTAAAAAAAAAAAAAAAAAAGTTAGGCTTCAGTCTTTGCTCTACCACTAATAAAATTTATGGTCATGGACAAGTAACAGTACCGGTCTCTTCTATGGAAGTACTCCCACTGTTCTCATGGGGTTGTTTTGGTTAAATCATGTGATACGAATGTATCTGAGGAACCATGAGACATAAAAACATCCTTTCTCATTGGGTACCTACGTCTCCCGGACAAAGCTGCTACCTTTTTTGTGCTTATGTCTCAATAATAAAGTTCCCCAAGGGCAGACCTTATTCCACAAACAAGAGGACTTTATCAGAGAAATCGGCAAAGATAGCTTGAGTCAGATAAAAAGTCCCATCTAGCTAAGTGCTGGACAGTATGTTGTCATCTTGTCCCCTGGGCCAGCCTCATGTCCTAGTGCAGGGCTAGGTACATAGCCAGACTCAGTTGATGTTTGTGGAACGAATGAAACCAAAGTTTGTGTCATAGCGCTAATCCTACTTCTGGGAATCTATCCGAAAGAAGTGGTTCAAACCAGGTCAGAAAATTTTGCATAATGTTAATTGCTGTGTTATTTTTGATGGGAAAATGGAAAACAACTTAAATGCCAGCACAGTAGGCAGTGGTACAATAAATTCTGAAACATTCTTTGAGAAAATAATCTAAGGTCTGAAGACTTCATGGAAACACAGAAGGAAACTTGAGTGAGGAAGGAAAATATAAAGTTTTACAAGAATTGCATACAGAGTTATTTTTAAAAAGTCATAGAAATAGACTGGAAGAAAATCCATTAGAATGATAGAAATAGACTGGAAGAAAATACATTAGGATAGTGTTTTATAATGGTAGACTTACGGGCATCTTTTTCTAATTTAAAAATGTCCTATAATGTACCTGATTCATGATTTAAATGGATTGGGTATTTAAAGCCCTCTGTTTTTACCCTTCGGCTGCTTTTGAAGGAAAGAACGCTTCTGTTTCTCCGCAGGTAAAAGAGCTAGAGCAGAGCCTGTGGGCCTCTGAGGAGAAGCTGCGACAGAGCAGTGACGTGGTAACAGCTCAGGAAGCTCAGATTCAGGCGCTTGTAAGTGCTGCTTGTGGCGACTGTGTCCTAGGCCCCGGGTGCTTCCCCTCTGTGCCTTCGGAGAGGCCCCGAACCCACTCCCAACTTCTGGAATGCTACCTGGACCCGACTGTTGCTATGCTGGATGTGAGCAGCTGCAGGTAGAGGGAGTCAGGACCTGCTGGAGGGTCTGAGTTACCCAGAGATGGAGTCTGGCTAATTCCCACCTGACAGCTGGCCGCAGGGCCCAGTCTCGTCGTGGGACTGTTAGAGGTGATAGCTCCACTGGCAGTCAAACCTCAGCTTGCAGCCCGGGCTGTGGGGAGAAGATGGCCAGGGCTTCTGGTCATCACAGCCTCAGGAGGGGTGTTGAGTTGAAAACTAGAGAAATAAAAATGGCATTCCTTGCATGTTTGCCATGTCCCAGGCACTGTGCTGAGTCAGTAGTCTGTATGTGTTTTCATTTAGTCCTTGCAGCAGCCCTGAGAGGAACTATGCACTGTTATCCTTATTCTCTAGAGGAAGTAGGCTCAGAAAGACTGGGTCACTAGGCCAAGGTTTCCCAGCTGGTAAAGGCCAGTACCGGCATCCTTTGCAGGTTAAAGCCCTAGTCTTCATCATTGTGTTATGCGGCCTCCCAGGGGAAAGCTTCGGCCATAGAGGGCAGCACTGAGTAGGGTGAAGGAGGACTGGTGTCCAGAGCTGTAACCTCAGCACCCCTGCCAATCCCAGACTCCAGCTCCTGAGCAGGCCAGGGCCCCGGAGCAATAGGCAGAGCCTGCAGGTGGGGACCTCAGCAGCACCCAGGCTGGAGAAGGTCAGGAAGAGAGTTTTTCTATCAGACACCCATCTTTGGATCACCGAGAAACAGAATAAGGCCCCTGCTGTCACCATGAATACTGTCCTCTGGTCCCCCACAGGCCGCTGCAGACAAGGAGAGCGGCCGTGCACAGCAGCAGGCCCTCGCTCTGCATCAGCAGTGCACGGAGCGCGTCCACACGCTGGAGGCCCAGCTCCATGCCCTCGGGAGAGCTCGGGTGGCCGACCTGATAGCTGTAGATCACGAGGTGGTGAGTGAGGGAAGGAATGGGGCTGGCTGATCAGCACCGGGTTCATGCGTAGCTGGGCTGCCAAGGAGTTGGACATGAAGACCGGTCCCCTTCTGAGTTAGGAACCACTTTTTGGAGCAGTTTTTATCATTCCAACAAGATACCTGCTCACAAGACTCAATGTAAAAAAGGCTGCTTTTTAGAAAAACCCCAAACAGATGGCTTTTCTTTGTCCTTGGGCTGTATAGGGACTTCCTGACACTTCCCGACCCGTCCCAACAGCTTCTTTGCACCATGTTTCTAAAATTTATAGTTCTTCCCTAATGGCTTCTCCCTTTCCCTGGCCCCTCTCCCTCTGCCACAGTCTTCAGAATCAAGTGCCTATTTCTTCTCGTGAGGAGTTTGTCAGGTGGTTCTCCCCAATTCCATTCTCATCTCCCAACCCTGCAGCGACCAAAGGGGGGTGGCATTTTTAAAGGTTTCATGTCAAAGAGATAGGACTGTGCCCAGAGGAAACATGGTAAGGATCTTTTCATTCTATATATGCTTTTCTCAATTTGCAGAGAGAGCTGAAGCAAGAAAATACAGCCCTTAAAGAAAGTAAGAATGAATGTGAACATTCTTTACAACATCACCAACTTGAATTAAAGAAGCTAAAGGTATTTATCTAATTGATTCACAGTTTCACAAAAATGTCAGGTCTTTTACTTGGAGAAGGAGTGGAACTATTAATAGCATTTGTTCAATATTTCTGTTAGCATTTGCTAGAAATTGTCACCTCATTAAGTGTTCTCAGTAATCCCAGATGGTAGGGAGAATTATGTTCATTTTGCAAATAATGTCATTGAGGTTCCGAGAGTAAGTAATTTGTTCGAGTTCTGTAGTTAGAGGTGGTGTTGGCCTGACTTTTCACTCCACCACACAGGCCCAGCCCTCCTCTGTGTGATCGTCACCAGCTGCCTGAAAGTAATGGTGCCTTAGCACCACTATTGGTGATTTTCCCGGTGAGACTGGTAAAGCAAGGTCCCCAAAGGTCGTAGGACTTTATGTCGGGGACCATGTACACAAATGAGGAAACAATCTGCTGGATTCCTACCCTGTCCCTTCTGAGAACGGGGTACTTTCATCAGACGCTGCTCCCTTCTTCTCCTGGGCGTAACTGGATGTGGAGGAAAGAGATTCTGCCCCCATCATATCGGCCTCCAGGTCCCCCGGCCCCTTTCCTAGCAGATGCTGGGTCGCTGCAGGACTTGCCCACCTGGGTCCTGACACACAGATCTCGTGGATCCAGATCTTGTCTGAGAACAGCCATAGCTGAGTGAGCGTTCAGGAACAGTTGCTGCTAAGTTCTGTGGGCGCTGATGCTGTAGTGCTGTATCTGGGAAGCAGGTGGTTTTTTCGTGCATTTTTTCAACAGACATTTGAGTACCTGTCGGCACCATTGTATGTGCTGGGATGTGGCGATGAGCAAGACAGGCAAAATTTCCTTCTCATGGAGCTTGTAAGCAAGTGATAAATAGTCATAAATGCTATGAAGAAAATAAAGCAGGGTGAAAGAGAAGGGAGGAGAGGGCTCTTAAATATGGAGGTTAGGGCAGGCTTTAATGCTACTTGAGCCAAAGCTCTGAATAATGAGAAGGGGCCAGCAATGAGAATGTTTGCAGAAGCAATATTCCAGACAGAAGAAATAGCAAATAGAAAAGCTCTGAGGCAGAAAAAGCTTGGTCTGTTCAGAGAACAGCACAAAGGCCAGTGTCGCTGCTTAGCGGGCTGGGGGAGAAGAGTGATGGACAGGAGGGAGGCAGGGAAGGTTCTAAGCAGAGAAGTGATGTGAGAGTTCTGTTTTGAAAGGGTTACTCCGGCTCTGTGTGGGGAATGTTCTGTAAGGAGGCAGGTACAGGAGCGGGAAGACCTGTTAGGAGGCTCAGCTGTTACTATCCTTACTTATGTTTGAGATATAAAAGCAAACTGAAAATTTCAGAAGAGGTTTGAGAACTGTAATAAAAGAGAGCAGTTTTGAAAATTAATCAAATGAGAATTTTAGAACTGAAAGATGTAATACTTGAAACTAAGAATGCAGTAGATTACAAAAAGGCATGAGAAAACGTTTGGGGCTAATGGATATTTTCACTACTTTTATTGTGATGGTTTCACCATAATTCTTCAAATTGTACACTTTATATGCAGTTTCTTATTCATTAGTTATACTTCAGTAAAGCTGTTTATAAAATCAATGAATGAGTTTAACAGCAGATTAGAACTAAAAAGATAATCAGTGAAATGGAAGAAAGGGCAGAATGAAATATGGAAAAGAAATGATAAAAGACATACAAGATACTTTGACATGTTCTGTTGTGTGTCATTGGGAGCCCAAAAGGAAATGAAACAAATGAGACAGGAGTAATTATGGAAGAGAAAATGGCTGAGAACATTCCAAAATATTGATGAAAGCTGTCAAATCACAGGTACAGGTGTAAGAATCCTTACAAATCCAAACAGGATACATTTTAAAATCCATACATGGGGCCGGCCGAATGGCTCAGTTGGTTAAGAGTTGGCTTAAGAGCAGGAGCTCTGAGCCAACAGGTCTGTCAGTTCGATTCCCACATGGGCCAGTGACGCTGCACCCGCACTGAGCTGTCGCTGAGCTGCCAACAGGTGGCAGGATGGCTCAGCTGGTGTAACAAGATTGCCTGTTCCATGGTGGGCTACGCCCACCCACAACTAAGACTGAACTCAGCACCTTGAGCTGAGCTGCTGCCTGGATGGCTCAGTGCATAGAGCGTGCATGCCTAACAACAGGGCTGCTGGTTCGACTCCCACATGGGACGCTGGCTACACCCACCCGCAACTAAGACTGAACACAGCACCTTGAGCTTAGAGGCCATGAGCTGCTGACGGGAAGCCAGATGGCGACTGCTGCCCTCCACAACTAAGATTGAAGAACAACAACTTGGCTGGTCCCCTTCCCCAATTCCCCAACACTGATCCCCTCCCTCGATTTCCCAATAAAATCTTAAAAAAAAAAAAAGAAAGAAAGAAAAACAAAGATGGCACCCAGGTAGCCACTGCAGGAAGCAGCTTCCGCCCGTAGGACTAAGGAGACTACGTGAAGAAGTTGGAAGTCTTCATTGTGGGAATCAAGATGAGGAGCCCCACAGATCCGCCTCTCAGGCCTCTGGGGGGTGTTATACAGTTAGCACTTGTGTGGGGGGACAGAACAGGGAGCGAATTCAGCCCCAAGGACTGGAAAAACAGCCGCGTGAATGCAGCTACTGCTTCAGGACGACCTGGAAGCGGCCCTGCTCACAGAAACAGGAAGCTGACAGGAAGGAGCAAGCCGTTTCCTCCTCCTCCTGCCTCCCAGCCTCCCTCCAGCTTCCCCTGTTGGCAGAGATGAATATGGAGCCAGCTAGATGAGCAGAAATGGGGTTTGCAGAGTCCCAGGTGCAGCATCACAAAGCAGAAGATGAGAGGGGGGGTGTGAGCTGAGAGGCAGTGACTGAAAAGCCAGTACACACAGGCCACTTACAAGTGTGGTTAATTTTCAGATGTTGGGGGAATTTTCTCAATTCTTGGATTTCTAGTTTCATGTCATTATGGTCAGATAATACTCTGAATTATTTCAGTCCTCTGGTATTTATTTAGACTTGTTTTGTGACCCAGCCTATAGTCTACCTTGGTAAATATTTCAGTGGTCTTGAAAAGAAGATATATTCTGCTCTCGTTAGGGAGAGCATTTTATAAATGCTGATTAGATCAGTTGGTTGATAGTACTGTTCAAATCTTTTGTTTTCTGATTTATTTTTATTTAATTTTTTGTGTGTCTACATGTTCTGTCAGTTACTGAGAGAAATAAGTCTTCAGCTATGTTCATGGATTCTTCTCTTGCTCCCTTTAATCCCATCAATTTTTGCTTCAAGTATTTTTTTTTTTAGCTGAGCCATCCTGCCACCTGTTGGCAGCTCAGCAGCAGCTCAGCTCAGGCTGGGAATCGAACCGCTGTTGCTCAGAGCTCACACTCTTGAGTGAGCTCTTCACCAACTGAGCCACTCGGCCGGCCCTGCTTCAAGTATTTTGAAGCACTCTTTTTAGGTGCACACGTATTTAGAATTGTCTGTATCCATATTTTTCAAAACAGCTGTGCCCTGAGCCATTTGGGGCAGTCATTCTCAGGTGCAGGGAGCTGGGCGTGGGGGTAGGCTGGTGCCTCCCGCAGAGGACCTGAGCCGGCCAGTCAGCCTCTACTCCCCGGGCCTAGATCGCCTGTGGCTCTGTGGCAGTAGCACAGACTGCGAGCCACACGGACTAGGTTCTGCATGCCAGCCTAGCCCCTCACCAGCTGATTCTTGAGGGACTTCGGTTTCCTTTTTTTAAACTGAAGATAATAAGTCTTGACCTCCAGGACTACCCTGAGGATTACACGTGACCATGGCTGGAAAGTGCCAAGTGCAGCTCCTGGCGTGAAGGTGCTTTGAGTCTCTGCTTCCTGCCCTGACCTGCTTTCCTGTCTTCTTGCGCAGTCTGCCTCCTGTCCTCTTAGACATCAGCAGTCACAGTGTCTCTTCCGAACTTCCTCAGAGAAGGCTCCTGCAGAGGCATGACACTGCTGTCGCCCTCCCGACCTGGGCACACAGGTCCAGGGTTTCATAGCTCCACCCAACCTGAAACCTCTTGCTCCTCCTGTATCAACAGAGCCTCCCCCAGTGAGGGGTGTTGTCGGGGGGGGGGGTAATTCTAGGTCCCACTGTCAGCCTTTTGTGTTCAGACACCAGTTTCCTTTGGCTACTAGAGGTGGACTGACAGCTCCGCAGTAGGAGCCAAGATGTCACTGGCCATGAAGCTGACATCTTCCTCCATTAACCCACTTGCACTGTCATAAGTGGGTAGGGAGATTTTGTAAGAATTGAGCAGCTCACAGAACCAGAAGGACTTGTCGGACTGGAACCTCGGGACCTGAGGTCCCCGCTCTTCCTGGTTATGCTGTCTCTTGCCCTGTGGTTCACCCAACTCTTCTCCCTGCTTTTCCCCATGATGGAGACTGCATCCTACAGATTGGGTGGACATCACCACAGCAGCTCTAAGCTGATAACGTTCCAGCTTAGCAACCTCTGGGGAAAGAGGGCTCCTCCCTCTCAGCTTCACCATATAAAAAAAGGATTCTGATATAAAAGGGGATTCTGGTTGGCTCATCTTGGATGACAGAGCCACCCTTTGGACAAATTGATTTGGCCTGGGGGATGAGGTACTGTGATTGGCCAGGCCTGAATCACATGCCTAGCCTTATAGCCACAACATGGGGGTATTGTTATTGGCAGCCCTATCAGAACCATGTGGAATTATGGGGTGGGAGTGGAGAATAGGATTGATGAGGCTCTTATGCCAAAAAAGGGGGTGATTCTGGGTAGACAGTAACCACAGACATCCCTGCCCAGTATACAGGCATCTGAGAAGGCATACTATTCATCTGGGGGTTGGTGGGCGAGCATGGCATCCGTCTCCGGGAAGAGGACTGATGTGTTTGTCAGGAGATAGTTCCTGTGCTCTGGGGGAGGCCAGCGAGGCAGCCCTGCTCGTGGTAGAAGGTATTCTGGGTGATGGTGTGTAGCATCCAAAGGCTCGGCTCAGAGCTGGCTTGAAATTGGCTATGCCACTTACTAGCTCTAGGACCTCGGGCAAAGTGCTTAGCCTCTCGGAGCCTTAGTTTTCTCTCCGATAAAATGGGTAATTTTGATAAGGCTGTGACATTTTGCTTTATTAAAATAAAATTTCAAAAATCATTATTTTTTCTGTGTCAGATTGTTCCCGTCCATTACACTATTCACATGGGCTTGTGAGTCTGTCTTCTCGTTCTGTGTCGATTTCATTAAACCAGCTCTTCAAGCTGTAGATCCCCAGCCTTATTCCAAGTACTGCCTAGTGTGCTCATAGGACAACTGGCCCTTAGCAGTGTGTTTCTAGAGAGATCGGTGGGTTATCCACCGGGACAGGTCTCAGAGGGATGCAGAAGACGCTGCAGCAGCAGGGCAGCCTGGGAACCTTGGGAAGCAGGAAGAACGTGGGTCTGACCCTGCAGGACAGTACCCCCTCTGTGGGCTTCATGTGAAGTGTGCAGCTGAAAACGTGTGAGCTGAGTGTTGGGACTCGATCTCCTACCTGTTTTCTGGACTGTAGGAAGAAGAGAACCAAAGAGAAATTGAGAGCGTAGCAATGGCTCAAGCGCTGGAGGAGGTGCAGAAGCAGAGGGAAGAACTCCAGAAACAGGTAGGCCCTGTGTGACCCCGAGGTGTGGGCCAGTGGGTGAAGCCCCCACCTCCGTCCCAGGTGAGACCAGCCTACCTCCCTGTCTGCCCAGGGCAGGGGGCGGACACAGGTCTCAGGAATGCCGGCAGCTGCGTGACTCCCCTGAAGTCTAGGAAGGTGGGAGAAAAATGATAAAGCCTCATCCTGTAGGATGGCCTTATGGTTTGTGACAGTCAGTTATTATTACAAACGTCACCCGGGGGAAAGCCATCTCAGGTACCCACTGGCTCTAATTCTTTGAGTTGCGCCACATACGGTTGAGCTCTCAGCAGGAAGGGCGGGAAGAGCCTGCCTTTGAAGACAGACTCAGCATCGGGCCCCAGACCTGGTGAGATGGCTCAGGCCTTGGGTAAATCCTTAACAGATCTGAGTCTCAGAGATGCCTCTGAAAAGACTCGAGGACAGTCGGGGTGCCATAATGAGACCATGTAGAACAAATGCTGGGCATGTCGCAGGTACTCGGGCCATGGAGGTTATGGTTATAACAGCTTGTTGGAAGGCTGGGCAGAAGGGCCGCGTCTCTGGTAGGCCCAGTGCAGTCCCGAGGGGCAGTGAGGGCGATCACCTCTCTGCGGGCCCCTGCCAAGGAGAACTGATTTATGTGTGTTTGTAGGAGCAGAGCTCAGCTTGGGGTGTGTTCTAGGCTGTGGACTTTAGGTAGGGGACCCTGGGGAGTGGAAAGTGGACATTCCTTTGGAGGAGATGGGGTTACTGCTGCCAACCTTCTCTCAGGTTGATTTTTCTCTCCAAGGCTGTGAACCTGACAGCCGTAGTAGAAGAGAAGGAGCAGAGTCTGCAGGAGAAAAATGAAATGCTTCTCCAGAAAGAACAGGAGATTCTCCAGTTGAAGAAAGGTGAGGCGTCTGGCTCAGGCTTCTCACCTGTTCCTGCCCAGCACCCCTGCCTGAGATGGCCCTGTCATGGCGCAGCCTGGAGCCACCGGGCTCCCGCTGCTCACCTCACCTCTGCCCGGCCTAGGTCACGACACGGCCCTGCTGCAGACGCAGCAGCTGCAGAATGAGCTGAAGGCCCTGCGGAGCCTGCGGGCAGCGGAGAGCCAGGCAGCGGCTGTGCAGGAGGACCTGCTGAGGTTGCCGGGCCAGGAGCAGGGGCTGGCGCTCTCCATCAGTGAGCTTCACGTAAGTCCCATCTGAGCCTGCCAGGCCCGTGTGGTGGCACCCGGTGCCACAGCAAGACACAGGCTGGCCACTGCCAATTTGCCAGTAGGAGGCAGCCATGGGAAGACACGGGAGCGTGCTGGGTTCTCTAGACACGGGATGTTGGGTAGGTGACTTCCCTTGTGCTTTAGTTTCCTTTCCTTAAAGTGGGGCCACCTAACTAACTGCCTAGGAGGCTATGAGTGGAGGAGCCCATTGAATGTGGCAACGCCTGCCAGTGTTCAGGTGTTAAAGCCCTTTCCTTCCGAGCAGAGTCGTTATATGGAAAGCTGATTGTCCCTCTGGAAGGCATGGGACGGGCTCTCCATACCCTGTTTCCCCAAAAATAAGACCTAGCCGGAAAATAAGCTGTAGCATGATTTTAGGTGCCAAAATGTGGCACCTTGGCATACTGAATATTTTAAGCTGAAGGAGTTTGTGGAAAACGCACCCTTCTCCCTGAAACAGGTCATAAAACCCTCATGTGAGGGATGTGTACCCTCCATATCCTGGAGGAATCATGCTACGGCTTCTCTGGAAGGTCTTATTTTCGGGGAAACACGGTAGTTTGTTTGGTTCCTGGCCAGCTACCTGTTGGAGCACACCCGTCCATACCTTTGGAACGAGTCTGGTCTCCTTCCCCAGGGACCTGTGGCTTAGCTTGGCCATTACCTGCCCTGGCTCTCAGCTCGCTGCCACCACCCTGTAGGTGACGTCGAGGGCCATGCAGGACCCCATGTACCAGCTTCCGGCTGCAGAGGGAATACCAAATGGTGAGGTGGGGGCCATGGATCTAAGGCAACTACAGAAGGAAAAACAGGACTTGGAACAGCAACTTCTGGAGAAAAATAAGGTGAGAGTGCGCTTTACCTCGGCTATTTCTTTCTCTGCTCGTTCCTGTCCTTGTGCCCCAAACCACTCATTCCCTTCTGAGAGTTTTGCTGATGCTCCTGGGCGCCTCTTGGGGGAGAGAGGAACTCTCATCCAAAGGGCTTCTTCCTGGCGTTCCTCTTCTGGTTTCCTCCTGTGTCGCCGTCTTCCTCTCACACTCCCCCAGTCTGCTCCCCTGCCCCGCACTTGAGATAATGTCCAGAGTATTAGAGCTTGAGCGGTAGCAAATCTAGGTGTTCCCAGCCACCTCGGCTTTCAAAAGCTGGGTCATATTGGATCCATGTTGTCACTTAACCTATATACTTCCTTTCTACAGCTGTGAGCTGACAGCAGTGGTATCTGCCTTTAAGTGGTTTTTATTTGTGGCGATGGGGTGAAATGAAAGTGTTCGTTAGCTGTCTTGTAAAACTTCTGGTATTTGGTAGAGGCTTACTGAATGTCATGATTCCACCCTCCCTGCCAGGCCTCTTCACATGTAAATGCAGGGTTTCATTTGATCCTGGCTTTTCAAGTGCCCTGTGAAGTTAAATGTGTTGGCTAGTTATTGCTCTGGCCTGAAATTCTGCCCCCCCCCCAATTGTGTGTGTCTACCTTTTTTAGATCTTTAACAAAGGGCAAAAGTGTTTATTCTCTTTCTCTTTCACCTCTCTCCCTCCCTTCCCCACTTGTCTCTCTCTTGCTGTCTCTCACGCATTTAATCTCTTCCTGTGAAATGTAAAATACACACAGAAAAGTGCACAAACTCTGTGTGCGCCAGGGTCCAGCCTCGGCCCTGTTCTCTAAATTGGTGCTCTCACCCATACTGTACGCCGCTGGCTCCCACATCCATGTCTCAAGTCCAGACAGCTCCCAGGAACTCCAGACTCCTGTATCTGTCTACTCTGTATCTCCATGCAAATGTCTAAAAGGCACCTGAAACTTAAAACATCCAAAACCGTACTTCAGATTTACATCCTCCCTAGCGTCTACTGCCATCTCTCCTACCTCAGTAAATGGGAAAAGCCTTGGAGTCATCCTCGACCGCCTCGACATCCAAGCCATTGGCAAATCCTTTTGGCTCTCCCTTCAGACCGTGCCCAGCTGTTTCTCATCCCCACCTCTGCTACCACCCCAGGCCAGGTTACCGTCCTTTCTTCCCTAGAGGATGGTGTGGGGCTTCTAACTGGCTTCCCTGTCACTTCTCCACTCCAGCCCTGTGATGACTTCCCATCTCTATAAAAGCCAAAGTCCTTGCAGTGGCCCACAAAGCCCTGTGTGGTCTGGCCCCTTACGCCCCTTTCACCGCACTCCCTGTATCCCCAGCACCCCCTCTCAGGCACATTGGCCTTGCCTTTCTGTGAATATCAAGCACCCTCCTGCCTCAGGGCCTTTGCACTCGCTGAGCCTTCTGTCTAGAAGATTTTTCCCCCAATTACCCTCACTTCTTTTATGGTATCATTTTGTCAGCGAGGCCTCCCTAGCTATCCCTGTCAGCCCTCACCACCACAGCTCCCTGTCACCTACCTTCCCCTTTTTCTCCATACCTTCTGATATTCTGTGTATTTGGTTTTGACACTTTTCCCTCCTAAGGGTAGACATTTTTTGTTTGTTTATTGCTATTTCCCCAGCCTCTAGGACAGTGTCTGGCATATAGTAGGGACTCAGTATTTGCTGGATGAATTATTGAATGAGTCAAAATCCTAGAAAATCAAGTAACATAAAATAAAATAGCAAATGTATTTTTGGCAGAATGTCCAGCCTCATGGTCAACCAAGAGAATACAAACTGAAACATTTTGTGAAATGGGGCTGTGGGCGGCAATTTACTGTGCTCGACAGGACTTGCATGCTCCTCTGACCCAGTCTTCTCACTCCTCTAGAGACTGCAGAGACACCTCTCTAGAGAAAACAAAGCATATTATGGCTTTGTTTAAAAATAGAAACGCACTCAAACAGTTACTGTCACATTAAAAGTTATAATTAGGACAACTGTAGCAAGCTGTGAAAACTCTGAAAATGAAAAAATACTATTCAAAATTCTAGCTACTTGATGCAAGAATAGCGACATGGACTAAAAGTCCACAGGAAAAAATTTTGATTAATATTACAGTTATGAGGCTTTGGAGAAATTTTTACTTAAAATTTTTTCCCATATTGCTGATTATACAGTAAATTTTTTTCATTGGGAAAATAGTTCAGCCTTTCTAGTGATTAATGGGATGTGTGATAAATTATATGTAAGGCTCATAATACTAATTAAACACACTTAAAAATAAAATAAATATAAGTAAAAGATATAAAACCCAATGTCGGGTTGTACAGAAAAGCCACGATCTTTACACTGTCCAAGTTAGCATTGCATATGATGGCATTTCGGGAGACCACTGGTTATGATGAGAACCATAAATTTTGGCCTAGTTGGGGATCATACACATAAATATAATTCTGAAGGACAAAAAGACTGTCCAGAGATGTTTCTAGCTTTGGAGTATTGCTTATGGAGGCGAGCACTGGCAGCAGTCCTGAGGACAGAGCCCCTGGGGAGGGTGGGACAGCCTGGGGCATTTGCGCTCCACAGAGGGGTATATGACGACTTTGGTGGCCATTGACGGGCCTGAAGAGCAAGTGTGTGCGCAGCAGCTGCACGTGAGGGGAAGAGCCCAAGGCAGCAGGCACACAGGTGTGACAGCACACGCCTTTCAGGAGACCAGGCAGGGACTTCTAACAGATGTATGGGGACCCAAGAGAGTGTCTGTCCTGTTAGCCTTTGCACCTTCAAGATGCTGAAATGTACATTTAACAGATGGCTTCTGTGGGGTGGGGGGTTTGTCACAGACCATAAAGCAGATGCAGCAGAGGATGCTGGAACTCAAAAAGACACTGCAGAGGGAACTGGTGAGTGCTCCCCTTTCCCCGCTGCCTGTGCCCTCCCCAGCTCTCTGGTCCTCCTTGGACTCTCTCCCGCCTGGTGATGCTCCCCTTCGCCCAGCTGATCGCAAGGGGTCTCTGGTGGTCAGATGTTTGCTGGTGGGACAATGGTCCTGCCAGCTTGAACATCCCCTCCGGGCCTGTATGTTGTCAGAGAAGTTAGTGAAGTGATATGTGCACCCCATGTGGATGGTAGAGTACCAGGCCCAGACATGGGAGAAGAGCAGCACCTCCGCCATGGCTGGGGTGCCCATTGCCCCAGATGTGTCCTGACACAAAGGAAATGTCTGAACTTTCCCAGGTGACCTCTCTCCCTGCTGTCAGCCGTCCACCCCACCTGGAGGGGCTAAGCCTTCTTCAGATGCTGGCGCTTCCTCCCAGGGGGCCCTTTCGCCCAGATGTGTGCAGGGTATGGCAGAGGACCAGCAGGTGGTCACAGCATGGGCCAGGTGAACCTCCCTTGTGATTTTCAGACCCATCTTGAGCCGTTTAATGTGCATCTTTCCATTGGTTTTTCAGAAAATCAGACCCGATAATGAGCTTTTTGAAGTCCGGGAGAAGCCCGGCCCTGAGATGCCAAACATGGCCCCTTCTGTCACAAATAACGCCGACCTGCCTGATACCCGCGAAATCAACTTCGAGTACCTTAAACACGTGGTTTTAAAATTCATGTCCTGTCGCGAATCCGAGGTAAAGGGCTTGTGAGTTGCCTTTTGGGTACTGAGTTCCACCCCAGGCCCGGCTCGTTTGTCGGAGCTCTGCATGGCTTCGTACTAAGTCCATTTCTTTCTTCTCCTGTGTTCCAGTGTGACCACCAATATGGACACTTAGTCATTCTCCAGCTGGCACTGACCTGCTGACTGAGCAGCAAGCAGAGGGGGACCTAGCAGGAAACTGGCCCCTGGGAGGGTGTGTGGGTTGGATGCTGAGGCCAGTGTCCAGGGAACCGAATCCGCCCGCCCAGCCTTCCTGTTTCTCTGCCGAAGAGCAGGATAGCTGCTGAGTTGTCCTGGCGATCTTGCCAGTCCCCAAAGTAAAAGATGGAGGGGAGCCAAAGACCCTGTCACTGCCGTCACACCTTAGAACGCCCAGCTTTACCCTTCACGTGTCCTTGCTCACACCAGGGAGCACACACCAGGAACAGAACCAGAAACGCCATTTAGCCCCAGCTCTCCCCCCCCACCTCCACCTGGGCCCAGGCAGCAAAACTTACTTTGTTTCAGGCTTTTCATCTTATAAAAGCTGTGTCAGTGTTGCTGAACTTTTCGCCAGAGGAAGAGAACATGCTCAAAGAAACCCTGGAGTATAAGGTAGGACTCCCTGGTCGGCCCTCTAGCTTCTAAAAATGGAGTTCGTGATTCCATTACCAGCAGGTGAAAGCACCCACAGCTGTTATCAGCATAGAAGGTGCTTTTGGGTGATGAACTTGACTCGGGCGGTATTTACTGAGGACATGCTTTGTGCTTACAGGTCTGTGCTATACTGGACCAACAGACCTCATTTTCCAAAACATTGATTGATATCACTTCATCAATAGCCCTAGCTCTGGTCCAGCACCCAGACTTGAAAAAACGAAAAATTTTTCAAAAAGTACCTGTATAAATTATGTAATAGGAAAAAATGTTACGGGAAAAATACAATTCCACCACCTTGTTCTTATGAACTTGGTTTTTTCTTGTTTTCCTCCCATACTTAGAATGGGCTCTCAACCCTGCAGACCGCTTACTGCAACCATCATCCACTGCTCTGCTCACAGCCAGAGGCAGGATGCGTGGGGGGCAGGACGGGGGTGTGGGGGGACTCAGCGCTGGGGGGCTCTTTCAGCTTCTGCTGAACCTCATCCTGACTCTCATCTCAGGAGCCTTTCCTGTTTCAAACGCAGATGTCATGGTTTGGGTCCAAGCCAGCTCCCAAGGGCAGCATCCGGCCATCCATCTCCAACCCTCGGATACCGTGGTCCTAGATGGAACTACCCAAGGATGGAGCTCCGTGGGCTGACACTTTTTCTGTGAAAAGAACACTGACACACCAGTCTGGGTGGGTTTTTAATCACTGTAACTGCAGTATTTTGTACACGCGTCCAAACATTGTTTACAAGATGTAAGGCCCACTTCCCTGCAGTCTGCTATGAACCTCAGGAGGTAACTGATCCTGTCATTCTGGTCACAAACGGGAGGGTCCTGACACTACCCACATTTCCAGTGCTGCTGAAATCCCAGCCCTGGCCTGCACCATCTGCACTTCAATCCTGACTTTTCATATTAGCTCTTAAAGCTGAAGCCGTCACCATCTGGCAGGGAGGAGGCACCTGATCCATCGTGTAGTGCGGACATCATCGGAGTAAAGAGAGCCCTTTGAAATGGTGCACAGCAGGCCAGACTCACCTGCTTCTGCCAGGAAGAGCCAACTCGGCAGGGGGGCTTTTATTTGTCCCCTCCTCTTGGGTTCAGATGAGTTAGAAGAGGCTTTTTAACCCTTCCTCTCAAGAAAACATCATTTTACCTTTGTTTCTCAAACCGCCCAGAACTTTAGATGTGTACATCTTGAAAGCCCTCTGGGGCCAGTGGGGACGAATGAGTACGCAGCTGACAGTATCTCATTTCACTGAAGAGAACTAGCAAATATATAAAAAGATCCTTAGTACCAAATACACTCAATTGCCTTTTTAATGAATGTACTTGTCTTGGATAGGTTGCTGTAAACCATTTTAAACTTTTTTTATAGCTAAAGTTCTTCACTTATAAACATGTCTTCTGCTTTATAAAATCCATTTAATGGTGTTAAAGGAAAATCAGAGCATCAAGAGGAAACTTTCTAAGGTTGGGATTCCTGTCCTTTCGTAATTTCACTAGCATTCTATGGCCTCTGCTTCCGTCTGAAGCAGTGGTGGTATCTCATTTGTCCTGCTCTGAATTCTGGGTTGTAACACTGAGCAGATGCTAATCACACGTTTTCTACTGTTAAGCAGTCTGCTGTATTCAAAGGAGGCAGCTGTTGTCCCACCCCCAGCCTTGACCACAACACTGGAGGTGGTCCACCCTGGATATGGATCGACCTCTCACCTACCCCGAAATATTTTAAGATACCAGTCATATATGGCGTCCACAGCCCCCAGTTGGCTGCAGTACTTGATAGCATGCAGGTGGCTTGTAGTGAGGGATAAAAACTTGTATTCTTATTAAAGGGAACATGCTTGCCCTGGAGAAGCCACATCAAATCTAGGGGAAACCATTTATTCATTTAGTTTGAGGCAAGCCTCACTGATTAAATAAACTGAATAAATAACTGGAGCTCCTAACCTTATTGTTAGCCCATGTTGTAAAGTTAGATTTCTCAATTATGCTTAGGGTTACAATATCTCACAGAAAAACAAGGATTTGCAGAGTTTACCTGCTCCATTTCCACAGACCTACACGTACCAAGTAAGGGCAGCATCACCTTCGTCCCCACTCAGGCTCCCTGCCATCCAAGTGACCCATCCTTCAGTCAACCTACCTCTCCCCTGACTCCTCCCTGCAGATGCCTGTCCTGTTTAGAATGCTGTTTTCCATTTACCTGGTGGGGACACAAGAGTCTCTTCTGTAATTTTGATGAGGAAGTGGTAGCTTTTCCACCTGTTCCAGGAGAGGATCCCACAGGTTGGGCAGCTCAGGGCTCTCCAGAGGCGACTCCAGCAGTTGTGAGCCTGTCCTAGTCCTCAGTGGCCTCTGCAGCCCTTGAGCTGGTCTCAGCCCCGCCCACGTCCCCAAGCAGATCTAGGTGTAGCTGTGGGGCCCATTCCTTAGTCTGCACTTGCTTAGGGAGGATTCATTCGATTAGGCTTTCCTCCTGCATGTTGAACTTCTTTCAGCTTTAAGAGGAAGACTGATGATTCTAAGTGATTTCATGCACTTTCACGTGTATAAACACTCTGTGATAGACACTATGTATAGCCCTTTATGAGCATTGGATCTGGACCGCTCCCTCCATGTTGTAAATAGGGATTGTATTATCTAAAATTGCTGTAGAAAACTCATTTGTGGTGCAATATACTTTTTGATTAAAGCTCTTCAATCCAGATGCAACTACAGTGGGTTTTACTTGATATAGGTTGGTGTCAGTACTTGCCTTATTAAATTTAGTACCTTGTCTCCTATTCCATACTTCAAGGGCTATAGAGCTTTTGTCTTCAGAAAGAACTTGCCCAGAGGGTTGGGTGAATGAATACAGGTAATTTAAAGAGCCAGCAGCCTAGGCCTACCTCCCAAGAATGGTGGGGGTTCTGCAGTTGAGAGGACTGTCATTTTGGTCACCGTCTATATCTCCAAGGCCACATGACGGGAGAGCTTCAGGAATAGGAATAGGTCCTTGCCTTTAAGAGAATGCAAACTCATTATGTGCGCTGAAAAGAAAGAAAAGCATCTTTGCTCTCAAAGAGGCGCTTGTTAGTTCTAGGGAACAAAATGTTCTTTTTATATTGATAGGCTGACTGCTACCTGTTTCTGGCTTTTAATCCTTTAAAGAGAACTTGTCAACTTCATGGTAAGACTGTTTCTGCCACACAGTCAAATCTGGCATCAGGAGTGACCAGGCCTGTCTGAGGCCTACTCTCAAAAGATTCCAAGTGCAGTCACACAAACTGAAGACTTTAAAAGCCTAAATCAATTATTGAATGTTTGGCACTTTATTAAATTAAATAAGCTCCAAAATTACATACAAATCAAAGGAGTAAAAACAATAAATACTTATTCAGCAAAACATCTCTCCATAGCAGCCGGTAGCACTGTCACCCAGGCCTGAGATACTGCTGTGGCAAGAGGGCTCCACTGCCATGCTCGCTCCCAGGATGGCTCAACAGGGATGCACGTCCGCCCCCTCCACACGGATTTCCACATTGAATCTCCAGAACAGTCGGCCCCTCATTCATTTCCATTCCATTCGTTACCCTTTTTTTACATATATGAAACACACTGCAAAGTATATACTAATAAGCCAAGAGCTTTATTGATGCAGCAGGCACTTTACAATGAACCCAAGAGAGCCCGCCTTCTCTGGGAGGATAGGATGTCTGTACAAACCCTCAGGGGGTTCCCACTTCAAAAACACAAGCTCTCCCTTTCACGACAGCCCTTGGATCTGCACCTGCCCAAATCATCCCCCCCATTTTAAACAGGCAGTGCACACAGGTACACCTGACCAACACTGGCCAGCCGCTCTGGTAGACAGTCACAATGTCAGTTCTGCATTACTTGTGAACAAAGGCATAGACTATCAGATCCTGCAAAGGATTTAAGAAACAGTAAGACAATTTCTCCCTCCACCTTGAAAATAAAACACACTTCAGCGGATGCATGTCCTGAAATAGTTGGGAGTTCCTAGGAAGATGGTCCTTTGTCAATCCCTTCTTCATCAGCCTGTGCATCCAAAATCTTCTCAAGGTAACATGAGTCTTTTTTTTTTTTTTAAACAGTCTTTCTTGCTGTAAGAACTCTTATAATGGAGCCTAGTCCTCCTACTGCTAATGCCTGTGGGAGCAGGAAAAGGAAATGTGTCAAATGATACCCAATGAGACCAGGATGGACAAGGGGGAGCCTGGCTTGCCAGGGGAGATGGAACCCTGGATTCCCTGACCTAGGTCCCAAGACCCTCTGAAAAAGGACTCTTACAAGGGCACAGGCACAGGAGAAGGCAACAGAGCCTTGCGCTGGAGCCAAGGGTTCGGGAGTTACTGTTCTTTAGGCAGAACTGGGCTTGGGAACATTGTTACCAAGCACACACACAGCACAGTCCCCCCAATTTCCCTTCTGGCAAGCTCAGTTAGTCCTAGGCACGTAGACACTAGCTCATCAGAGCTGCCCCCCCCCCGAGCCCTCATGAGAAATGCCAATAGGGCTAAGCACCAAGAATCCTTAAAGGGCCCAGCCTCCACTCCATGCGGAGGGCTCGCTCCGTTCTCCTGAGCACCACAGCCACCCCACCTACTAAGCTCAGGAGCTCATCCAGGCGAGCAGGCAGAACATACCCATCAGCAGCACCAAAGGCCACAGCCCCAGCCTGGTACCGAGGCTGCCCAAGTGACTGACCCCTCAGTAAGAGCGCAACTCCCTTAAGACTCAATGGAGCCTTTCCAGAAGGACGTCATGTTAGTGACAGCCTGACTTCCTGTGATGGTGGGCATGCTTCTGTAGTTCTGCAGGGCGAGGGGACACTGGCACACAAGCTTGACAAAAGGCTTTGCTCTTGCAGCAACCCAAGTAAAAGACAGGCACAGCTTTTTATCCTTCAGGTGCATGAAGACCCTTTCAAGTGACTGTCAAGGTTTCTGCCACTGCCCTGGCCTGTTGAGGCTGGGGCCAGAGCAGGAAGCCCCTGGAGCTAGCCTACATTCCTGAGCCCCTGGACCACCACCTCCACCAATGCAAAGTATTAGGAAGCCCCCGCCACCAGTATGCCTTCCACCCTCCCATCTGGGACTCCCCGTCTGCCTTACCATGCCAAGTCACCAGCCCCCATGACCTGCCCGGCATCAAGCAGCTAAAGCGACTGATTACCAGAGACAATGGAACCCTACTGGGTGCTTCCTTGGCAGAGGTAAGTGATGAGACATCTCAAGTTGCTTTAAGCGTGGCTCCTTGTTCTCATATACCTATGAGACTTACCAACATGTTTTGGAAAATCTGGTTGCTCATTTGAACCCTGGGATTGGGGCAAGCCAGCAGGCTGCCTGCATGGGCAACATGTTCACATACCTTTTCATGCCACTGGAGTAACAGTGCGCTGCTATTTTCTGTGGGCTTCTCAAACCCTTTATAAATGTACTTCATTAGCAAGTCAACACCATTTCTGTCCAGTGACTGCACAGCCTGCTCAATTTCGCTGCTCTTAAAATTTGTAAGGACTTTCAGCACCACGCCTTGGGCTCGTTCCTACAAAGCAAAGAGAAAGGGAGTGAGGCCCAGAGCCACAGCCCAGGCACATCCACGTCCCCCACTGCAGGCAAAGAAACACCAAACCAAGTGGTCAGAATTCACCAGAAACACTGCAATTTCTAATGTGTTAGGGATGGTTAAAAAAATAAGTAGAAATTCTTTTACTGATTTAAATTTCAAAGTATCCCTTATTTATGCCAGTAAGTTATTCCCCTACTTTGGGGGTAATAACTGGTTTACTGGGGAGAAGCATCACTATTTTTGATAATACCAGCAGGGCCTTAGACGCCACACGATCACAACGGTGGAGATCTACTTTTTTAAAAACAGGAGTACCTATCTGGCTGCAGCGTCCCTCTGTGTTCACCCCCCGCAACAGAGGGGCCATTCCCCTCCATGTTTGAGAGGCGCCAACTCCCCACAGGCCAGGGAGGCCCCAGTGATTACATCAAGATGCTGTCAAAAGATGGCAAAATCCCTGCTTCAAAGAGACTCCTTTCCCTGGACCACATTTTAGCCTCAGAGATGAAATGTTAAGATAGCCTCAGTGATGTAGTAAGCACAGCTTTATCTTCTCACCTAGTTTTTAAAAGGCAGGAAATCTTAAAAGCACTGAAAATCCTTATGCAAATAAAGCCTATTCCATAGCCTATAAAAGCATAACCACTGATCTAATAAGTCCCACATGGCACGCTAATTTATAGTTTTGCTCTTCAGCAAGGGCTGGGCTGACTTCTCATCCATGAGGCCCTGGGGAGGGGTGATCGTTTCCTTGGGGAGCTTTTACTATAAACACTGACAGCTTTGATGCTGGGAGTGCCAGGAGGATTCCATGGAAGCACTGCCCAGTGCCAGCTCAGACACTCGCTGATGCAGAGACGAGACACGCTGTCTGGAGCCCTAGGGAGCTCACGCTCGGCTGGGGACATGGACAACCACAGCCCCGGTCCCACCACCACCCAGCAGAGCTGCAGCGTGATCCCCTTTACCTTCACAGCTTGATTCTTGGTGTTGACAGGAGAGTTCCGCAAGGCTGCGTGAAAGGCCCGAAGCATGTCCCCTGTACATCGGCACCAGTTAAGGATGGCTAGGCTCAAGCATGTCGATGCTTTTATTCATGAACTCATCTCAAAACAACTCGAGAGAGGGGTCAAACGGCATCTTAGCCACACCCCCTCACCTCCCACTGTGGCTTCCAGGAGGGCATAACCTGTTTAGAGGGTAGCCTATAGCTTTCCTGAGCCACACGGAGAGTGGAGGGCACCTCTGCCAACTCCTTCTGCTGCCCCGCAAAACTTCCCCCTCAAAGCAAGTTAGGACGCACCCTCCCTCTGTCCTTGGAAGGTAGTAGCAAAGCAACTGCCCTCACAGGGTAACTTGCAGCAACATCTGATTGAGCTTGCTTGCACTTGCTGGGTCGGGCACCCTATTGGATCCTCACAACCATGTGGGGTTATCCTCATCGTCTCCTTCGCAAAAGGGAAGAATAAAGGCACAAACCGAGGTCCCCTAACTCTTAATCCAATGTTTTGTTATCAGTTAAACTATTAAAGAAATTACGATGTGCTAAAGGTCTATCTTCCAAGACCTACTCAGGCCAGTGAGGTCCCAACAGCTAGGGAGATTTATTAATTGAAAAGAACCATTGGAACAAACGAGTCGATCCTCCCCCATTCCTCAAACTTCAGTTGCAATCCTGACACACTCTTTGCCAAGTTCTGAATACCCAGCACTCAAAATTACAATCTGGGTTAGGTCCCCAAAGGTGACACCTATTTTAAACTGAATTACATCAGCCGACTTTCATTTCCTCATTTAAAACATTGGCTTCAGCCAACAAGCTTCAAAAATAGAACAAGAAAGGGCTTCTGCCCAATCGGGTTTCACTCCTGTTCATGCAGTGATCCCCACGTGTGAAAGGACACACCCTGCGGAGCAAAGCCAAGTCTAGTCTTCCCTAATGTGGGCTCCGTCTTCACCGAGCTGGGCCCACGCCACCCACGCAGTAGCCACTTCAGCCCAGCTCCTGGCTTGGCTCTGATCCACCTTCCACATTCGAGAGGCAGCCCACCCCCTATTATCTAGCAGCTTTAGAATTCCTCTTTCCCAGCCAGGCAGGGGGGCCAGTGTGACATTACCCACTGATAACTTCTACCTCACGATTCTTTTTTTGGTTTCCCAGAGCAATAAGCAGAGTCCCAGAGGCTTAAAAGGAAATGCAGACTGGTGCTCTTCGCTATCCAGCAGTAAGGTTGGCAAACAAAATCATTCAGAAGACGGATGGGGAGGGTAGCTAGTCCACGGGGGCAGAGTCCCCGTTACCTCAGTAGTGCCCATCTACCAAGCAGGCACTGTAGGTGTGGCTGGGCAGAGGGCCTTCAGCAGCTCGGGAGAGATCTGGGGAGCAGGGAGGGCACGCATACTATTCACCAAGCTGGCCTCGGGCCCTTCCAGAGAACAGGCTGCGCAGGCTGGGGAGCCGTGCCCAACCCTAGTCTCCTCTAGATCAGGGTTTCTCAACCACCACACGACTGACATTTTAGACCAGATGATCGATGTGGGGTCTGTCCTATGCATCGTACAATATTTAGCAGCATCCCTGGCCTCTATTCACTAGATCCCAGTAGCACCTCCCAAGATGTGACAATCAAAACATCTCCCCACATTGCCAAATTTCCTCGGGGAGGAAAGTGCAAAAACACTCAAAACCACTGCTCTGAACACATCCCTCCCTGTGCTAGAGGACCAGATGGTGCTTCAGCAAGGAAGAAAAGGAACTACTACTACTTTAAAATCCCTACAAGGTCTCACTCAGATCCTGTGCCAAGTGCTTTCACATCATCTCTTTACTGCTAACGACTCTTTGTGACAAGAATCATTATTCTCGTTTTAAAGGCCATGAATTTGAGGCTCAGAGGAAGGGAAATGACCGGCCCAAGGTAACAAAGCTAAGCTGTCCAGCTGGCCTTCCAAACCCAAGTATGCCTGACTCCAAAGCCAAGTTCTTTTTACAATCCCCTGCTGCACTCCACCCCCAGAACCAAGCGCCTATCCAGGGCACCTGCTGTGCGCCTAGCACTGTGCCAAAGCCTTCTGGGATGTTGTCCAGCAATGGTCCCACGGAACCTGTAAGGCCAGCATGGCTCTCCTCCTTTTAAGAGAGAAGGATGCTACGCTTCAGAGAGGCTATGTGACCTATTCAAGGTCACACAGCTATGGCATGATAAGAGTTGGGTGCGTGTGGGTGCACAGCCATTGTTCTTTTTATTTCGTGTGTTATTTCCCACCATAACTCACTTCTGTATACAGTACTAGGACAGGCCTCCTCCCTACATTCTCCCACTCCCATCAGTCAACCCCTATCCCTACTCCCCTCGCCTGTCCTACCATTTAAATTCAGTCATCCAACTTAAGTCCAATACCTGGCTTATAGGAAGGACTCTAAATATTAGTTCCTTCCTCCTCCCTCCCTGGGCCCCATGTTTGCTACAATTTCAATTCTCATCTGCTAACCTTCCCCAATCCCAAGAGGTACACTCTCCATGGCAACAGGGTTTCTGATACTGCCATTAGTGGAGAAACTACTATCCCCTGATGTGCTAAGCCCAGGCCTCCAAGCAGCCACAAGGAACCGATCACCAGTCAGGGGCATACAAGAGATGACCTTCAACAAGTCCCTGCAGCACCAGATAACCAGACCTTGTTCTCCCCATCTGTGGATGGTTCTGGGCCGTAGGCCTGACCCTGGAGCCCTTTTGGCACCTCCTACCCACGAGTGAGGTCCTGCCCCGGATGCACCATCAGCCTTCCCTCACTGGGGCCATTCTCATGCCTCCATCTCACCAATGGGGTAAGCAAGGTGCTCATTAGGAGGTAGGAAATACACGTTTGTATACACATTTGAAAACACATTCCTGTCCAAAGCCTGAAGGTTTTTGTTTTACAGGTACGCTGGAGGAACACTGCAGGACTCCTCCCACAGGCAGTCTATGGGCCTGACTTCCCAGGCTGAGTCAATGGATTCAACACTCATAACCTGATTTATATACAGCACGAGCCTCCAACCCTACCCTGGCAAGTGTGGGGGAGGGGCAGGCACTTCCTGTAACACCCTTTGAATAAAGAAAAATCCTTCCTGTGAGAATAAGTCAGTTTCCTGTGTTCAAACTGCTAAGGGACCAAGCAGGCTGTGACAGCCACCTCTATTTTTAATCTCGTTTTCTAAATGCCCGTTTTCAGTGGCCACAAAAATAGTCATTTCCAGTCGTGGGGCTCTACTTTTACATTTCACTTTTTGCTCTCTGGTTTTTCTCAGCTCTGAACTACTAGTCTGTTGGGGTTTTTTTAACCCCCGTTTCCTGCACAAGAAGGCTATTGGGGGGAAGGAGGCAAAACTCACTTGTTGAACGTCACTAAGACCATCAAGGTCCAAAGCCCAAGGCGTTCGTAGGAGGCTGAGTCTAGGGGAGAAGGCGTGGCATGAAGCTGCAGGATCAGATTGACTCGGGTGGGAGGTACACAACCATCTCAGCCCTCAGGTCTGGACTGACTTCAGCCGTCGCTCCCTCGTGTCCTTTCCTCCCCGCAGCCATCCACCCCCCTACTTTAGTGTGGTGCTGCAATCGGGCCAAGAAGTGCGCCCAGGAGCCTCCCTGGCCGCTCAATTCCTCAGCAGTGGCTCACCTCTGCCCCTCCTACAGGTCAAGCCCTAGCATGGCCCCGTTTCCTGCAAGGGAGAGGTGGAGTGATGGCGAGTCCAAGGAAGGGGCAGCCTGAGGGGACGAGGAGGCCAGGGGAAGAAAGGAGAGGCCGCAGAGAGAAGTGAGCGGCCTGCGGGGCCAGGGACGCGTCCGGCAAACCACTGGGGCCGCCGAGCGAGCCGGTCCACCAGGGTCTACGGACCGCGTGGGGCTGCGCCTGCTGAGTGGGGCTCCCGGAGCCGGGGCCAGGGACAAGAGGAGTGGGGAGACGGGATCAGAGGGAAGCGGAGGGTATTCGGACTGAAGCAACCTAGCCCGACGGGAAGGATTGGAAGGGAGTTGGGACACTGACCAGAGGGGTCGGGGGTTAGACGAGTGGGGAGCCGGCCTGAGGGGCCAGGGCCCGGGGTGAGGGAGTGGGAAGGCCGGGCCAAAAAGGGGAGCCCAGGGCGCCGCGCAGGGGAAGGATATTGCCGCAGGAGCCCGTCCACCTCGCTAGGGTCCGGGCCTGGCTCGCCCGCCGCCGCCGCCGCCTCTTCCTGCTCGTCCACGAATTTGTTCTCGTCAAACTCGTCAATGTCCACCCGACGGAAGCGCGAGGACAACGTGTTCCGGGCCATGGCGGGGGCTCGGCGCCCGTTCAGCCGGCTCCGCTCCGGTCACAACCTCCGTTCCACTCCGCTCCAAACCGGCTCGCGCTCGGGGGCGGGAAGCGGCCGCCCGGCACCTCCTCCGCGCGCAGCCGCCGCCCGCCCATTTCCGGGCCACACCGGAACCGGAAGTATGGGTGAGACGGAGGGGCGGAGACTGTGGGGGCGCGGCTGGGAACGTGGTGTTACCTGCGTGGTAGTCGCCTGGACACCAGCGCTAGATTCCCATTTTCGTGGCGCCTCAGTCTTCTGGTCTGAAGAGCTGGCGCATTGTCCGCGTGCAGGCCCAGCCTTGTGGACGCCATTACTGCGCTCGTTCCTCGGCCTCCCTCCTGCACTCGGAGCCCCTAGCCCTGGAGGGGCTGGCGTGTGCACAGCCGCGAACTCTGGGAGTCACATGACTGCCCCAAACTGAGGGCATCGGCCCCGTAGGAGAAGGCGCCCGGCTCTGCTTGTCGAATAACGGGCAAGCTCCTTGGAGAAGAAATCTTCGAGCTGAGGCCTCACAGATGAGTAGTAGAGTTCTTATGCCCAGGGGAGTGAAGGAGGGTGTAGGATCCTAAGTCTCCGATTTTTAGGAGCCGTGACCGCCACCACACTGAGCTCAGAGGAGGTGGCCTCTGCCTTGTACACAATGACACTATTGTTAATGGACTAGGAGACTTTTAAGGACGTTCAAAATGTATCTAGGGTGCTGACAAGACAATGAAGACCTTTGGACTTAAGGGTGCGGTGGCACTGCGTGTGTAAGTCACCTTGGCCCAGTGAGTAGGGGTGGGGAGATGGAGATGATCCTGTGGCCAACATCCTGGCAGGAAGGGTGCGGTCCTGGTAGCTAAGAAGTCAGCCTGGCTGGAGAGGCATATCCTGGTAGGAAGCCCAGAGTCTGAGATGGGGCAAGATGGCAGTGGGAGGAGGTAGGGCAGAGTCAAGGATGGCTCTGGTGCCAGGATTAGGTGCCTGGGCTGTTGCTTGAAGGGTTCCATTAATGGGCCTTAACGTTAGACTAAACTGGGTCCTTGTTTTCATATAATAGTACTCTTTTTAATAAAGGCCAGTGGTTAATGAAATGTGACTTGTATTTATTGATTTGAATATTTCTCATTGAACTGTGTCTGCAGATCAAAAAATATACCAGACTATGATGTTACCTAATGTTGGGTGCTAAAGATACTCCTACAGTGGGGAACTAGGTGCTGAATAAAAGTCTCAGGGGTCCTGGAAACAGGCAAAGTCCACCCGTCTTTCTGCTCCATATGTTGGAAGAAATCTTTGTGACCCAGGCAGGCCACAAGACAGCAGAAATTCGTATCCCCGGAACATCCTGTTCAGGGGGAACTTTAAACCAGAAATGACCATTTTACAGGTAAGGAACTTGCCTCCAAACAAACTGGTGAATGAAATAATGTACCTGCTTATGACCATGGACCTCCATTCCAGTCAGGAATGCAGAATTTTAAAAAGCTGTACTATACTATGTCAGGATGACTGTGCTGGGGGAGGGGGAGGACCAAAAGCATGCAATGCCTGGCAGTGAGTACCTTAAAGTGATCAAGAGAGGTGTCACTGAGGAAGTGACACTGAACAGAGACCAGTGTGGTCTCAGGAAGTGAAGGCGGGAGCCAAGCAGAGGCCCAGAGGCAGGGCAGGCTTGGTGTATTCCAGGAACAGCAAGGCCATAGTGGAACAAAAGAGAGAGAGATGAGATGGAAGCGGAGAGGATTCTGTGGTAAGGATTCTGAGGAGAGGATTCTGAGGAAAGGATGTGGTCTTAGATGGGGCAGCCCTGGAAATTCTGAGCAGAGCAGTTACATGATCTGACTTAAGTTTGAAAAGGGTTCCTCTAGCAGCTGTATTGAAAACACATGGGAGCAAGAACCAAAGTAGAGAGGTGACTTAAGAGGACACCAACAGTCCAGGTGACAGGCAATGATGGCTTAGACCAGGCAAGTGCCAATAAGAGTGGTGGGAAGAGGTCAGGTATATTTTGAAGGTAGAGGCTACAGCATTAGGTTCTGGATTGGATGTGGCATGTAAGAGGAACAGGGGCGTCACAGACGACTTCAAGTCCAGAAAAGATGTACACAATCATATAGCGCTAATAGAACTATAAGCATTTGTGAAATGTGACAGCAAGGACCCTGTGCACTATTCAACTTCCATTTAAGACTAATCCATGCCAACATTGCCCGCTTCTTCCCATGTCCCTCCACTTCCTGAAAGTCTTTCTCATTGTGGTCTGGGGCAAGACTCATTCATTCATGCAACAAGCATCCACACGCTGGGCCTGGAGACTAGGAAAACCTGGTGTCAATGATGGTTATGTTCCCAGAGGCTTCCAGGCTGGCTGTTGAGACAACACATAACATTTTAACTTTAGGGCTAAAGAGAGGATTGCACATAAAGCTTGGGACACAAGACAAGTTGTGTCCCAATTTATTCATTCCAAGGCTAAGGCTCATTAACAGAACTCCAGAAGGGGATGGGAGGAAGCTCTCTGGAGGTGACACCTGATAGCAACAAAGGGGCAGGCAACTTGGTATTAACTAGAGCTCTAAGAGGTGTTGGTATGTTTTTGTTAATGGCAATGGAGTGACACTGAAGCACTCATTCGTGCTTGTTGGTTGGGGCAACAATAAAACTCAGAAAGCCTGAGCACCCTCCTTGTTTTATTAATTCTCCTTTAATTTTCCACTGGGAATTTAATACTGATGGTATTTTGAATGATTGTTATGCATCACGTCTTGTGATAAAGAGTTTTTTAGGTGTTAGCATCCTAATCCTCATAAATATCTCATTTCACAGATGAGAAAACTGACACTCAAAGAGGGAAAGGTATTTGCCAAGTCTCAGCACCAGGCAACAGAACAAGAATCTGAAAACGGGTCCGGTTCACTAAAAAAAAGGCTATGAATGATGTTTCCCCTGCCACATGCCGCCACCACTAAAACATTTATGGAGTTGGATTATAGCTGTCTGACCCCCGCCCCACCCCGCCCACCTCGGACTTTAAATACCTCTGAGGCTTGCGGCCTTGTTAATTCATCTTTGAAAACTTTCAATCCTTATCCCCTCTACTCCCTGAACACGGGTGCCTCGCTCAGAGCAGCACGAACTGGGCGACCTGCAAAGATTTACCCAATAAATGAATGAGTGAATGAATGAAGAATGAATGAACAAATAAATGGCAGAGTGGACAAATTTGAATCCTCACTATGCCATCTCTGATAAACTGCGTCTCATCCCAGTTGGTTTCCCCAACTGCTCTGCTCAGGGCGTGAGGACCTAAGTAACCTCCGGGGTCTTTGGAAGAAGTGGGGGACTACGAAGAGGGACTGGGCGGGCCGCACCAAGGTGCTCCTCGCGTCGTGGGCGGGACCGGAAGGGGCGGAGCCGGGCTCCCTCTCCGCGGCGCCATTAGCCGCGCCCGCCCTCACCCGGCAGTAGTTGTAGAGGTCAGCCCCGCCCCTTCCCCTTTCTCTCCCAGCAGGAGGCGGCTCCGGTGGTCTGTTCAGCCATGGTGAGAGCTGGGGAATCGGGCGCCATCCGTGCGCTGCCGGGTTCGGGGGCTGGGATGGGGGGCGCGGGGGGGACCCTGAGGTCCCATCTGCCAGCTGGGCCTGCGGAGCGCCGTGCGGAATGGCCTAGCGCCACTCAAACCGGTCTCCCTCCTCCCCTTACCGGCCTCGGCTAGGAAAGGTGTGCCTGCGCTGCCGGGACCTCTGTCTTCCCGTCTGCGGAATGAGGGTAACGACCCAGCTTCGTAGCAAGCTTGGGGTGCGGGGCGCGCGCCCTCCTGGTGCTGATCATAACGCAGACGGCGGGGAGGGGAGGATGGCCAGGGGAGGAGGCCTCGATGAACGCCGGAGGGGTAGACGGCGCCGCCGGGCATTTAACCCAGACTCTTTCTTGCACGCAGGCCAAAATTAAGGCTCGAGACCTTCGTGGCAAGAAGAAGGAGGAGCTGCTGAAACAGCTGGACGACCTGAAAGTGGAGCTGTCCCAGCTACGCGTCGCCAAAGTGACTGGTGGCGCGGCTTCCAAGCTCTCCAAGATGTAAGGGATGGGCCGCGTGGCCCTTCTGGGCGGGAGGCGGAATATGTGTGTATCAGGGTTTTTGAGGTTGGGTTAGGGAGGTGACCGTTTAAGTGCCTCTTCAATGAACCTGTGGGTTGGAATGTTATGCCCTCCTAACCGGGCTCACCTGCTCACAACTAGCGGCGCGGGAGACCCTCTGCCTTTACCTGCCTTTGACGGTGCGGTCCTTTTGCCCTGAGCCCCCTTGTCTTCTCCGGCTGGAGGAAAAACTGGGTGTCTGTGAAGACCCCATTTTAATCCTGCCTCCAAAAGCCTAACTGGATTTTTCTTTACCTCCCATCAGCATTTGATGTTTTTCCCTCACTGGGTAGATGGAGTCAGTTGACCTGGGCACAAATTCCATTTCTGCCACATCCTACCTTATGGGCACGTTCGCTCAACACCCAGTTTTTTTCTTCTTCTATAAAATGGGCTCCCAACAACCTTCCTACTGTGGTGGGAGGGGATTGGATGAGCAAGTTTAATGCTGAATTCTCAAGACCAAGTTTACAAGCTGTCTACTGAGGGAGCCTCCCCTTGCCCCCACCTGCCTCTTACTCAGCATGACTACAGATTCACCTATCCAGAGCTGGTTCCTAGCTTCGGTCTTCTCTCTCCCCCATAGTATTTCTCCCTCCCAGGTGGCCCCTGCTGTAACTCCTTATGATTATCCGGGTTGTCCGGCTTCGTAGCCTCAGGATATATGGCCTGGGATGGAAGATTTTTGCTGATCTGCCTCCACCACTTTTATTAAGTCTCCTCAGCGAACACTTCACATCTCCTCAAAAGCACTGGACACTCCAGCCCTTTCCCATTCCCACTCCTGGGGTGCCCATCTCCCAGTCTCTCAGGCCTCACCCCCAGAACACTCACGTGCCTCCTAGGTGAACATGGGCCAGCTGGTTGGGAATACCCCTGACCTGTGAGATCTGGGTCCAGTCCTGAACGAGATGCTTTGGGAGGAGCACTGTGTGCCTTAACTGTTGTCTCTGTTTTTGTAGCCGAGTTGTTCGCAAATCCATTGCCCGGGTGCT